CCTGGGATCATGACCTGAGCAGAAGGCAGAAGCTTAACCCACTGAGCCACCCAGGCGCCCCATAATAAAGTGTCTTTTAAAAAGGAGAAGTTAAGGCAGTTCAATACTATCCATGAAAATGCTAAATGCCCATATTGTGTGATTTAGAACATTCACTTCTAGAAATCTATCCCACAACAAATGTGCTCATGCATATGTTCAAAGACACATACACAAAAATATTCGCTGGAATAGTGTCTATAACAGCAGAACATCTGATAAAACCTAATGTTACTTCATCACCACCACCACCCCTTAGCTCTTAAAGTTTTCACTTATTATAGACAATATATATTTCTATATACTGAGATTATTTGAGAGAGAAAACATGTACGTGTGCAGCGTGGGGGGAGGTGGCGCAGAGGGAAGGAGAGAGAGAAGTTCAAGCTAGACTCTCCCCTGAGCCTGACAACAAGGCAGGGCTCAACCTCATAACCCTGAGATCACGACCTGAGGTGAAATCAAGAGTCAGACCCACCGACTGAGCCACCCAGGACCCCTGACAAAATATATTTTTTTCTTTGTTTGCCTAATCTCTCTTTCCTGGATAATTTTACCAGGTCAAAGCCAAGGTGATAAGAAAGTACAAATTCCTTCCCATGTGGAACTGTATTAATAGTTGGATTTGGGACACATAGGAGTTGACTTTCACATTAGCATGAGGTCATGTTTAGAATCTCTACTGAGAAAAATGCATATATTACCATCCCTAAGACACATTTACAAACATAATTTCACACTATCATTTCAGGGGTTTATCAGATTCCTGGGAACTTGAGGTCCACCCAAGGGGAGGCAGCACTCATTTTAAGCTTAAGAAAGTCCTTTCAGTGACCTGAAAGATATGTCTCTATGATAGACAGCACATATATCAAAAAAAGGATATATATAATTCAGAATATATTTTCCTATTTCATGTTATATGAAAAGAAAAAACACACGCTCTTTTTTTTTTTATAACAATCTCACTTTAATCTTCTTCTTTTTTTTTTTTTTTTTAAACTTATTTGACAGAGAGACACAGCGAGAAAGGGAACACAAGCAGGGGGAGGGGAGGAGGGAGAAGCAGGCTTCCTGCTGAGTGGGGAGCCCAATGTGGGGCTCTGTCCCAGGACCCTGGCCTTATGACTGAGCCAAAGGCAGACACTTAATGACTAAGTCACCTAGGTGCCCACCAATGCTCTGTTTTGTTGTTTTACCCAACATTAAATCTTTCCTAGAGATCTAGTAAAATGCACTATGGGTAAGGATTTTAGCTGCAGTCAGTTTAACAAATGCAAAATAAACCAAGGCAGTACTTAATATAGGGCTAATGTAGAAGTTTCTCAGCCCATCTGATTAAAGTGTTAATAAGAGTCAGTAACCTGCTAATTCTCTTAAATTCATTCACATTAGGTATATGTTTAAACTTAACACAAAACCTGCAGTTTTTATTAGGAAAAGTATGAAGTCTAGTCTTTGGATTCTTTAGATCACTGTAAAAAATAAAGTGAGTAAATTTTAAAATTTAAGTTAAAAAACCCAAAGTCTGTTTTTCATATTAGAGTTTCAAAAGAAAGAACCAGTACTCTCAAGATATATATGTATCTTTTTTATGGGAAAGAGTTCATGCACTAGAAAGTGCTTTTCTGACTTATGCTAGGTGTTACACAACACAGGAGTCCTAGCTAGGCAAAACTACAGGAACTCTCCTTCCTTTCTTCCCCACAGAAACCACTAGGGATTTCCCTCTGCCCCTGTGCCTGTCACTCCTCTGTGCTTCATCACCACAAGCCTCCCAGCAACTTGGAAGATAGACGGGCTGTGTGGGGCATCGCAGCTGCTGTGGTGGAGAAAACTTGGGAGGCTATAAGGCCTCCATTTCTTGCCTTGGGGAGTGGCTGGCCGGGGTTGGGGGGAGGTGATAGTAAAGGAAGGAAGGAAAATATTCCTGCCACTTCTCTTTTCTTACTCCCAAATAGCTTAACCTGTCACACATATCATCCCTAAAATATTCTTCTATCATAAGCAAGAAATGAGAAAACTGGCGGGAAAAAAAAACAAACCAGAAACTATGACCTCTCCACCACTAAAAAGTTTCCACCTCTTCTTTATTTTACCTACAGCCCCATTCATTTTCTATCCACCCCCCCCACGAGATGACATCTGCAACATATGCCAGTTCTCAATTATCATTGGTTTGTTGGCTCTAAGAGAGCCATCTCAGAATTCATCCCAGAGAAGCAGGGCGCCCAGTCTCAAAAGCCTTGGACTGAGGGAGACAGCATAAATGAGTAAGCACTATTCCAAGCACAACACAAAATGGAAGGCACATGCCAGCCTAAGAGGACCTCTCAGTTAACCCTTTTCTGAGAGAAGCTAGAAATCCAGATTTTTATGTGTAATCTCTTTTTAGTCAACCACTTCAAAAATTTTTCCAAGACTTCTATAGACCAAGTAAAAGATGCCTCAGTTAGGGGCGTCTGGGTGGCTCAGTCATCAGGCGACTGCCTTCAGGTCGGGTCATGGTCCCAGGGCCCTGGGATCAGGCCCTCGTCAGGCTCCCTGCTCTGCGGGAGGCCTGCTTCTCCCTCTCCCACTCACCCTGCTTGTGTTCTCTCTTTCTCTGTCAAATAAACAAATAAAATCTTAAAAAAAAAAAAAGGTCCCTCAGTTGGATGTGCTGAGGGAGGTTCCAAATAAGGGTCATTTGTGAACTCTAATCTAGAATCCCCTAGAGAACGAAGAGAGGTCACTGCTTCCCTTACTTAAACTGGTTCTACGCCTCTTCTTCTCAGCCCTCCACGCCAGACTAGCTACCACTGCAAGGGACCCTGGCTCCTTCTGGGAGGCAGGAAGAGAGGAAGTTCCTGTTTTACTGCCAACTTTGAGTTGGGCTGAAGTTGTGCTTCTAATATCCGAAAAGATGGAGCTCTAAGTGCCCCTTCTATCAAAACCATTGTTACACACAGTGGCTAAGTCTGACATTTTTATTCTTCATGTATGGTGTAAGTTAAAAGGGATTTTTAACTTTGTAGGCTAGTTTGGGAGTTACCTATCAAATGTAACAATGTGTCTATGGGAAAACCACACTTAAAATTCCAAAATAAATACATGTACAGATAATCTTCAGGAACGCTACCATTTGTAAAATGAAGGTTTTCTAAATTCTCATAATATCACTATTGAACTTTAAGACTTGCTCACTGGCCACAGGGTACCAAATAGCCTAAACACATTTAAAGAAAATTACAAAAGCACATTAAAAATATATTCACAATTAAGGTTTACAGATCAGTCCAAATAAGATACTGGTATTCGTGTTGCCTCCTGTCACAAAAGGGTCCTAGCAACCAAAGTTAACATTATTTCCCAGCATTAGCCCTACGTATCCTCTTCCTAATCTTCCCACATGATGTCATGAGAACTACAAGACCTAATAAGGTGAGATTTCACAAAAAAGTAAAGATGGGTTTTTTAAAGCGATATGACACTATGATACAAAGGCATAGCAGTTGGCAAAAAAAAGGTGTTAGTCAGTGTGCCACATCACAAAGAAAAACCAAACATACTCAGATTCTTCTCTGGAATAGGAATTCATGCAATAGGCAGAAGAAGCATCACTCTCAAACTATATCAAGAGGTCTGAAACACCCTGAGCTCTAATGTTATTAAAAATGTGGGAAATTTTTCATGTTTAGTAAAATTTTAATAAGTATAACGGTAATAAAGCAAAATTAACCAAAATCAAAAATAAAACCAAGAGAATACAAAATGGCCAAGGCCAAGAAATGTCAAAATTCACTTATCAAAGGAAGTGATAAGGTCTCCAGCTGATTTCCTTCTGAAATAAATTCTGTATGAATCTATTTGAGTAAATGCATAGAGCAGCACACAGAGAGATATAAGAAAGCAACAGTCTGGGGTCTCAATACCAGAATATTCTGAGATGTTGCTTTGGTTTGAATTAATCACAGTTGATACTTCAGCTCCTCAAATCAATAAACAGTTACTCTTTTGTTTGTATTATAAAAACATGGTTTATGTAAGCAAAATCCATCTGTTAGAATCTTAAAATCTGACTAATGACTTTTGGAAAAAGTATTCTTTAAAAATAATTTTGCTTATGTATCCTGGTTTTCACTCCCTGTTCCTCCAAAACTTGAGGACTGAATCTTTGCTCAACAGCACTGAATGCTTACTCGTTATCTAGATTACAATCTTTTTTTTTTTTTTGGTAAGCAACTAAGAACATAGTAGCGGAAGACAATGTAAAATAGAATAGGTAAGAAACACATCTGAACTGAATTATTTTTCATAAACTTAAACCCAATTAGTATTTAGTAACAGGAAAGACAGGACATCCTAGTTTTATAGTATGGCATCTAGTCTTCAGGACTGACTATGGAAGAACAATTGTAAAATATTCAGGGGGAGAGGAAAGGAGAAATAAGTGGATGACTTTCGCATTTTTCAAAAGTATGTGAAAGGTGCAGATCTGATGGTGTCTACTGACGCTGGCATTTTTAATGTTATAATATTCTAAGAAAAATCACTGCAAAAAAAGAGCAATAATGGGTATTTTTAAATGGTATAATGAGGGATGATTTTTTTTTTCTCCTTTCAACTCTTTTCTCACTTCCAAGTTTCATATAATAGGAATGCACTATTTTCAAATAGTAAAAAGTCTAGTCTAAAATATTCTTAGGGGCGCCTGAGTGGCTCAGTTGGTTAAATGTCCAACTCAGCTTAGGTCTTGATCTCAGGGTCGTGAGTTCAAGCCCCAGTCCAAGCTGGGTCCAGAGCCTACTTAAAACTAAATAAATAAAATATTCTTTATGTTAGATAAAACAAAGTCAATGTGTTGCAAGAAAAGCAAGTCCCTAGATCTGTATTTTTCATGTATTTTTTTAAGTTGATAAACTCTGTAAAGTTTGTAGCTTTGTTCTTGAGCAAAATAATAATACTAATAATAATTTCACCTGTTCCCTTCCGTGCAAGTTCCATACTCCACTGGGGTTTTGTGGTGGGTGTGCCATCGCAGCCTGATGAGTGCTGGGGTATTAAAGCAGATCGGGAGCTGGCTGGCCGGTATTTAGAGAGCCCTAGAATGCCAAGGAAGAGGGAAAAGAGGTATTTATTTCTTGGTTTACTAAAAGAAGAAAAAAGCTTGACCTGTTTTTATCAGTTAACCTTAAAACCAGAAGCAGTTCAATAGTAGAATTCTAATAATAAAAAGAATACTCCTAACTACTAAAGATCCCATTTGATTTTAATCCTTTGTCATGGTTCCTATATGCTTAAGTCTAAGAACAACACACACTCAAGAAAGACAGTGAAGTGTGATGGCCTGCTAAATACATAAAGTGGATTCTGTATTTGAGGTGGAAACCGTATTTTATATTACGTGTGTGGAATTTTGCATATAGTCAAGTTTCTTTGCTCCCCTGAAAATTTGCTGGTAAATTCTACTGTAATATTTACTCAATAAAAAGGTAAAAATAATCTAGGGGTTACAGAAGACATTTCAAACAGGAAATGTTTTAATGGCAGGATATGGACAGCACTGGAGGAGCTATCAGGAAACCTTGGCTCTGATTCCAAATTATCAACAAATTAGAAAATCCAGGTGAGACATTATGTCATCGTGTCTCAAGTCCTTCATTTGTCACTTGGAAAAGTTCTAAGGTCAGTCTAGACCTGAGCTGGCTATGAGTCTAGACCTCAGCTGACACCTGAGTGCGTCATTTAGGGCAAGTGACCTAATACTGCTCTCTTAAGTTTACTTATCTATAAAATGGATTGAACAGATAAATAGTTGTTAAGATCTCTTAAATCAGAAAAGTCTAAGAATTCATGACCTTTCAGTTTTCAAATGTATCTCAGGCTCATATTCTACCTGAAGTCAGTTCTCAAATTCTACTAGCTTATCTCAGATCACTAAATAATGAAAAATAATTTATGTCTCAAAACTAAAATCTAATAAAAAGCAGACCAAGGTAGGTAAGGAGGCCTTTGCACAAATATTGCAAGTTTCAAAGAAAGGAAGAAAAACAAGAAGAAAGAAGAGAAAATATCATTCAAACATAAAGGTCATAAAAAGATAACCAGTATGGAGTATAAATAAATACTCCCTTTTTTTCCAATAAAAAGAAAACAGGAACAGTACCCAGAAAAAAAAGAAAAGAAAAGAAAAATACTCATATTTCCAATAAAAAATGCATTATAAAGTAAACTTGAGGGTGCCTGGCTGGCTCAGTCAATAAAGCATGTGACTCTTGATCTTGGTATCACTGAGTTCAAGCCCACATTGGACCTAGAGATTATTTAAAAAAAAAAAAAGTAAACTAAACTTGATTTATCATTTGTAATTAGTTAACAAGTATCTTTTAAGTTATTACAGTGGTAACAAAACAGTACTATGCATACAAAAATGATAAAGGATAAGTAAATGAAAATTAATAAATTCCATCTTACATATCAACATGGATGACTTTAGAAGCATAATGTTGACTGAAAAAAGTTAAGCCACATTGGTAGAATACCATTTTCATAAAATTAAAAAAACAAGTGCAAGGAAATCCTGTATTTATGTGGCATACTATAAAGAAAAGCAATAGAATGATTAAGAAAAAGTAAAAAAGGAAACTGAAGATAGTCTTTACTTCTAGTGTAAAAGCAGGTGAACAGAACCAGAAAGAGGCACAGAGGGAATGACCCTGGCATGGAACCCAAGACTCAGGTTAGAGTGGAGAGTAGGTTCACCGGTATTTGTTTTATTACTGTATTTCATACCTGACATGCAAGTTACATCAATGCTTTATCCCTGAAAGTTATAAAATGATGATAACATAAACTAGGTATTTACTCTTCAAAAAGCATTATGGCCCAATATATCAAGAACTGTGAAAATCTTCTGAAGGTAAGTATCTCACAAGACAGTTAAAACTAATCTTTTCACCAATAATATATTTTGGGAAATTTACCCAAAGAATATAAAGAAACAAAAGCTTTTGTATGAAGATATTCAGTGCAGAATTACCTATAATAAAAAAAATACTTGAAACTAGGCCTAAACACCTACCAACACAGAAAAATAAGGTACATTATAGTCTATCAACCTAATACTGTCTCGGGTACTATTTTCAAAAGGAAAGATTATGATGTTTGAGAAATGCGTGCAAAAATCTCTAGGCAGGCAAAAAGAGAAAGCTGTGTTATGGGAGGCACTGCTTCAGTCAAAGTTTAAAATTATGATTACATTATTAAAAAGAAAATAGATCTGGTATTTTATTTTGAAGTTAAGTCAACTACAAAAAAAAAAAAAAAAGGTTGGGGGGGAAACCCTTAAAGTTACTGGTAGAACTGTTGAATGATTTTTTTTAAAAAATACAAATCCAGGAGGAGGAGTCAAGATGGCAGAGAAGTAGCAGGCTGAGACTACATCAGGTAGCAGGAGATCAGCTAGATAGCTTCTCAGTCCATTGCGAACACCTACAAATCCAACAGGAGACTGAAGAGAAGAACAGCAACAATTCTAGAAACAGAAAATCGACCACTTTCTGAAAGGTAGGACCCGCACAGAAGTGAATCCAAAGCAACGGGAAAATAGACCGCAGGGGGAGGGGCCAGCTCCCGGCATGCGGCGGAGCAATGGAGCACAAAATCAGGACTTTTAAAAGTCTACTCCATTGAGGGACATCGCTCCAGAGGCTAAACTGGGGTGAAGCCCACGCGGGGTAACAGAAGGATCGGGGGTGTCTGAGTGTGGCAGAGCTTGCAGGTATTAGAGCAGGGAAGCCGGCTACAGAGACAGAGCCGAGGAGTGAGCTCTCAGCTCGGGGTTACCTTGAACCGGGCGCAGGCTGGGTGAGCTTGGAGCGCGGCCGGAGGCCACGGACACGGGAGTGATTGAGCGCTTGTCTCTGAGGGTACACTGAGGAGTGGGGCCCCGAGCTCTCAGCTCCTCCCGGCCGGACATTAGGAGGCTGCCATTTTCATTCCCGTCCTCTGGAACTCTACAGAAAGCGTTCAGGGAACAAAAGCTCCCAAAAGCTAACCCGGGAGGATTACTCAGCCTGGCCCCTGGTTAGGGCGGTGCAATTCCACCTCGGGGAAAGACACTTGAGAATCACTACAACAGTCCCCTGCCCCAGAAGATCATCAAGAAATCCAGCCAAGACCAAGTTCTTGTACCAAGGAGAACAGCAGAATTCCAGAGAAGGAGAAAGCAAAGCATGGAATTCATGGCTTTCTCCCCATGATTCCTTAGTCTTGCAGTTAATTTAATTTTTTTTCTTCTTCTAAATTTTTTTTAACTTTTACCCTTTCCTCTTTTAACGTTTAACTAGTTTATCTTAACAATACCTTTCATTAAAAAAAAAATAAAAATCTTTTGAACCTTCATTATTATAGCCATATTTTATCCTTCATTGTATCTAACTTTATTTTTTGTATACACATAGGGTTTTTTCTTCTAAAAAATTTGGGGTACAACTTCTTCTAATAGATCAAAATATGCCCTAAATCTAGCTCCAGGCTTGTTCTAGTCTCCAGCCCGAGCAAAATCTCTCCACTTTCTTTTTCTTTATTCTCCCAACCAACTTACTTTATCAACTCCTTTTTAGAAATTTAAAAAAAAAAAAAATTTTTTTTTCATCTTTATAGGCATATTCCATTCCTTCATTGTGTTTACCCTTATATATGTTTTTCATTCTTTAAAATTTTGGGAGGTAGTTTCTTCTAAGAGACCAAAATACTCCCAAAATTAAGTGGGTGACCCTGTTTTAGTCACCAGTCTAATATATATATTTTTTTCTTTTTAATGTATTTTTAAAATTTGTTTTCTTTTCTTCTTTTTTTTTTTTTTTTTAATTTTTTCTTTTCCTTAACTTCTTTTTATCCCCTTTCTCCCCACCATGATTTGGGGTCTCTTCTGATTTGGCTAAAGCACATTTTCCTGAGGTCTTTGCCAGCCTTTTAGTATTTTATTTGCTCCTTCATATATTCTTATCTGGACAAAATGACAAGGCGGAAAAACTCACCACAAAAAAAAAGAACAAGAGGAAATACCAAAGGCTAGGGACCTAATCAATATGGACACTGGTAATATGTCAGATCTAGAGTTCAGAATGACGATTCTCAAGGTCCTAGCTAGGCTTGAAAAAGGCAAGGAAGATATTAGAGAAACACTCTCTGGAGAGATAAAAGCCCTTTCTGGAGAAACAAAAGAACTAAAATCTAACCAAGTTGAAATCAAAAAAGCTATTAATGAGGTGCAATAAAAAATGGAGGCTCTTACTGCTAGGATAAATGAGGCAGAAGAAAGAATTAGTGATATAGAAGACCAAATGACAGAGAATAAAGAAGCTGAGCAAAAGAGAGACAAACATATACTGGACCACGAGGGCAGAATTTGAGAGATAAGTGACACCATAAGACGAAACAACATTAGAATAATTGGGATTCCAGAAGAAGAAGAAAGAGAGAGGGGAGCAGAAGGTATATTGGAGACAATTATTGTAGAGAATTTCCCTAATATGGCAAAGGGAACAAGCATCAAAATCCAGGAGGTGCAGAGAACCCCCCTCAAAATCAATAAGAATAGGTCCACACCGCGTCACCTAATAGTAAAATTTACAAGTCTTAGCGACAAAGAGAAAATCCTGAAAGCAGCCCGGGAAAAGAAGTCTGTAACATACAATGGTAAAAATATTAGATTGGCAGCGTACTTATCCACAGAGAACTGGCAGGCCAGAAAGAACTGGCATGATATATTCAGAGTATTATATCCAGCTAGGCTATCATTGAAAACAGAAGGAGAGATAAAAAGGTTCCAGGACAAACAAAAACTGAAAGAATTTGCAAACACCAAACCAGCTCTACAGGAAATATTGAAAGAGGTCCTCTAAGCAAAGAGAGAGCCTAAAAGAAGTAGATCAGAAAGGAACAGAGACAATATACAGTAACAGTCACCTTACAGGCAATACAATGGCATTAAACTCATATCTCTCAATAGTTACCCTGAATGTTAATGGGCTAAATGCCCCAATCAAAAGACACAGGGTATCAGAATGGATAAAAAAACAAAACCCATCAATATGCTGCCTACAAGAAACTCATTTTAGACCCGAAGACACCTCCAGATTTAAAGTGAGGGGCTGGAAAACAATTTATCATGCTAATGGACATCAGAAGAAGGCTGGGGTGGCAATCCTTATATCAGATCAGTTAGACTTTAAGCCAAAGACTATAATAAGAGATGAGGAAGGACACTATATCATACTCAAAGGGTCTGTACAACAAGAAGATCTAACAATTTTAAATATCTATGCCCTGAATGTGGGAGCAGCCAACTATATAAACCAATTAATAACAAAATCAAAGAAACACATCAACAATAATACAATAATAGTAGGGGACTTTAACACTCCCCTCACTGAAATGGACAGATCATCCAAGCCAAAGATCAACAGGGAAATAAAGGCCTTAAATGACACACTGGACCAGATGGACATCACAGATATATTCAGAACATTTCATCCCAAAGCAACAGAATACACATTCTTCTCTAGTGCACATGGGACATTCTCCAGAATAGATTACATCCTGGGTCACAAATCACGTCTCAACCGGTATCAAAAGATTGGGATCATTCCCTGCATATTTTCAGACCACAATGCTCTGAAGCTAGAACTCAATCACAAGAGGAAATTTGGAAAGAAACCAAATACATGGAGACTAAACAGCATCCTTCTAAAGAATGAAAGGGTCAACCAAGAAATTAAGGAAGAATTGAAAAAATTTATGGAAACAAATGATAATGAAAACACAACTGTTCAATATCTGTGGGACACAGCAAAGGCAGTCCTGAGAGGAAAATATATAGCGGTACAAGACTTTCTCAAGAAACAAGAAAGGTCTCAAGTACACAACCTAACCCTACACCTAATGGAGCTAGAGAAAGAACAACAAAGAAAGCCTAAACCCAGCAGGAGAAGAGAAATCATAAAGATCAGAGCAGAAATCGATGAAATTGAAACCAAAAAAACAATAGAACAAATCAACGAAACTAGGAGCTGGTTCTTTGAAAGAATTAATAAGATTGATAAACCCCTGGCTAGACTTATCAAAAAGAAAAGAGAAAGAACCCAAATAAATAAAATCATGAATGAAAGAGGAGCGATCACAACACCAAAGAAATACAAACAATTATAAGAACATATTATGAACAATTCTATGGCAACAAATTTGACAATCTGGAAGAAATTGATGCATTCCTGGAGACATATAAACTACCACAACTGAACCAGGAAGAAATAGAAAACCTGAACAGACCTATAACCAGTAAGGAGATTGAAACAGTCATCAAAAATCTCCAAACAAACAAAAGCCCAGGGCCAGACGGCTTCCCAGGGGAATTCTACCAAACATTTAAAGAAGAATTAATACCTATTCTCCTGAAACTGTTCCAAAAAATAGAAATGGAAGGAAAACTTCTAAACTCAGTTTATGAGGCCAGCATCACCTTGATCCCAAAACCAGACAAGGATCCCATCAAAAAAGAGAATTACAGACCAATATCCTTGATGAACACAGATGCGAAAATTCTCACCAAAATACTAGCCAATAGGATCCAACAGTGCATTAAAAAGATTATTCACCACGACCAAGCGGGATTTATTCCAGGGCTGCAAGGTTGGTTCAACATCCGCAAATCAATCAATGTGATACAACACATTAATAAAAGAAAGAACAAGAACCATATGATACTCTCAATAGATGCTGAAAAAGCATCTGACAAAGTACAGCATCCCTTCCTGATCAAAACTCTTCAAAGTGTAGGGATACAGGGCACATACCTCAATATCATCAAAGTCATCTATGAAAACCCACCACAAATATCATTCTCAATGGAGAAAAACTGAAAGCTTTTCCGCTAAGGTCAGGAACACGGCAGGGATGTCCATTATCACCACTGCTATTCAACATAGTACTAGAAGTCCTAGCCTCAGCAATCAGACAACAAAAAGAAAGGCATCCAAATTGGCAAAGAAGTCGTCACACTATCACTTTCTGCAGATGATATGATACTCTATGTGGAAAACCCAAAAGGCTCCACTCCAAAACTGCTAGAACTTGTACAGGAATTCAGTAAAGTGTCAGGATATAAAATCAATGCACAGAAATCAGTTGCATTTCTCTACACCAACAAGACAGAAAAAAGAGAAATTAAGGAGTCTAAATCCCATTTACAATTGCACCCAAAACGATAAGATACCTAGGAATAAACCTAAGCAAAGAGGCAAAGAATCTATACTCAGAAAACTATAAAGTACTCATGAAAGAAACTGAGGAAGACACAAGGAAATGGAAAAATGTTCCATGTTCCTGGATTGGAAGAATAAACATTGTGAAAATGTCTATGCTACCTAAAGCAATGTACACATTTAATGCAATCCCTATCGAAGTCCCATCCATTTATGGAACAAATAATCCTAAAATTTATATGGAACCAGAAAAGACCTCGAATAGCCAAAGGAATATTGAAAAAGAAAGCCAAAGTTGGCGGCATCACAATTCCAGACTTCAAGCTCTGTTACAAAGCTGTCATCATCAAGACAGTATGGTACTGGCACAAAAACAGACACATAGATCAATGGAACAGAATAGAGAGCCCAGAAACAGACCCTCAACTCTATGGTCAACTAATCTTCGACAAAGCAGGCAAGAATGTCCAATGGAAAAAAGATAGCCTCTTCAACAGAAAAAAGAGAAATTAAGGAGTCTAAATCCCATTTACAATTGCACCCAAAACGATGCAGAAAAGTGAAATTGGACCATTTCCTTACACCACACACGAAAATAGACTCAAAATGGATGAAGGACCTCAATGTGAGAAAGGAATCCATCAAAATCCTTGAGAACACAGGCAGCAACCTCTTTAAACTCAGCCGCAGCAACTTCTTCCTGGGAACATCGCCAAAAGCAAGGGAAGCAAGAGCAAAAATGAACTATTGGGATTTCATCAAGATCAAAAGCTTTTGCACAGCAAAGGAAACAGTTAACAAAACCAAAAGACAACTGACAGAATGGGAGAAGATATTTGCAAACGACATATCAGATAAAGGGCTAGTATCCAAAATCTATAAAGAGCTTATCAAACTCAACACCCAAAGAACAAATAATCCAATCAAGAAATGGACAGAAGACATGAACAGACATTTCTGCAAAAAAGACATCCAGATGGCCAACAGACACATGAAAAAGTGCTCCATATCACTCGGCATCAGAGAAATACAAATCAAAACCACAATAAGATACCACTTCACACCAGTCAGAATGGCTAAAATTAACAAGTCAGGAAATGGCGGGTGTTGGTGAGGATGTGGAGAAAGGGGAACCCTCCTACACTGTTGGGAATGCAAGCTGGTGCAACCACTCTGGAAAACAGCATGGAGGCTCCTTAAAATGTTGAAAATAGAGCTACCCTATGACCCAGCAATTGCACTACTGGGTATTTACCCTAAAGATACAAATGTAGTGATCCGAAGGGGCACGTGCACCCGAATGTTTATAGCAGCAATGTCTACAATAGCCAAACTATGGAAAGAACCTAGATGTCCATCAACAGATGAATGGATAAAGAAGATGTGGTATATATACACAATGGAATACTATGCAGCCATCAAAAGAAATGAAATCTTGCCATTTGCGACGACATGGATGGAACTAGAGGGTATTATGCTTAGAGAAATAAGTCAATCAGAGAAAGACAGCTATCATATGATCTCCCTGATATGAGGAAGTGGAGATGCAATGTGGGGGGTTTGGGGGGTAGGAAAAGAATAAAATGAAACAAGATGGGATTGGGAGGGAGACAAACCATAAGTGACTCTTAATCTCACAAAACAAACTGAGGGTTGCTGGGGGGAGGGGGGCCGGGAGAGGGGGGTGGGGTTATGGACATCGGGTAGGGTATGTGCTATGGTGAGTGCTGTGAACTGTGTAAACCTGGCGATTCACAGACCTGTACCCCTGAGGACAAAAATACATTATATGTTTATAAAAAAAATTTTTAAAAATTAAAAAAAAATACAAATGCAGAAGTACGCCAAATACTTAAAAAGGACCAAAATGAAACATAATTTTAAAAAATCCTTTAAAAATACTTATTCCTTTGCTAATAGGCATTATAATCTGATACAACCTAGTATTTGATACTACCTACTTTTCAACTTTATAGCTGTTCACTTGTAAATAAAGCAAGAGGTTTTAGAACAGCAGTACCACGAGAACTCTCTTCATCACCTCCTGATTACTGTACACCAGTCTTACCTGGAGTCGATGGCCTTTCAAGCATGTTCAAATGATGGGAAATGAACGCCTGGCTATCATGAACTGTGTCCATGTCAATTTCCTCCTCATCTTGAGAATTTGAAAACTAAAACACACACACAAAACAAAGGAGGAAAAGACTATTACATCGCTTTATGTTTGGATCTTAGCTCTTAGGAAAGGTAGTAGAGAAGCCACAGAATATACCCCCACATCTTAAAAGGAAAAGTAGTCTTTTTCTCAAAAAGTACTATGAGTAAGAAAAAATTAAGTGGGCCAGCCTCTAAAAGAAGCTGAATGGATATTACTGGAAATGAAACAGCAACTAAAATCTACTCCTATGTTGTAGGGAGAGGGAGTGAGCCATGGTAGACAACACACACATAGTTCCTCCCCCAAAACAGAGAAGAAGTATGTGATAATAGAAGTTAAATCATCAGATGGAAGATCTGAAATGGACATTTGGGATCTTTTATGATTCAGTCTGCCCCATCTGCTCCTGCTAAGGAAAAACCATTGGAAGTATTCAAAAAGATTTACAAGAAAGTGAATATCCTACACTATTAATACAGGTTGAACCTGTATTTCTTACTCTGATTTTGAGTTTGACTTTACTGCTATCCTCATTCTTCTCCAGTATTTGACCAGGTTCTAGTGGGGACCCCAGTGGTGTATCAGCCTTCCTCTTCACTCCCTGCTGATGAGCTGACATATTACATGTTGCTTCCTTGGCAAGGTGATCATCTTCCTGCGGCAATATTCAAGATCAAAATTAGATTTCTGAAGACAAGTAGCTCATATTATAGCTGAACACTAATAGCTACAGCAACCATGCAGATTAGAACATGCCCAGTGCCTAAAAATTATCAGCAATGGGCTTAAAATAAACTTCACCTTTTCCTGTCTGCTGGTCTTTTTGGGGGGAGGTGGAAGGTATAAAAGCGAACTTCTAGAGCTTTCCCAAAAGAATGTATCTTTTGGTATCATTTCCTCCTCTTCTGAAGACTCCAAGAATGAATGTGAATAAGTTAACATAAATGGGCAAGAATTAGAAACATATTTATTCCTACAACTTTGTAAATATTCAGATTTGAAAGAGCACATTAATGAGACTCTTTTTTTCCTATGGAAAGATCATCTCACTTTTTCATAACCCAAACTCTAGGATACATTTCAAATTTACAACAAATACGTACAACTCTATTCCATAAAAATCTAGGTGAATAAACAAATTTAAAATAATTATCACTAACTAGCATGAAGAGAATCTCAGTTTTCAAGTGTCAAAACACCAGTAGGGAATTGCCAGGGAAGTAATCTGGTCTAAATATTGGCGAAAAATGAAGCATGAGTTATTAAGGACATTTTGTTATTAATATGAAAATCATTTCTGGAAAACTTTTTTGAATTACAGTAAAATGATTCCTCAAGGTCTTTCTGCAAAAAGTCTGGTAATTTTCTAATGCATAGCTAGAAACAAAATTTTTTTTAAAAGGCAAACACAGACACACATACATAAATAAAAATGTAACGTATCAACTCCTCCCAAATCAGCAGCTTACTCATTTACCTGACCATTCACGGTTATATAATTCGAAAAGCATTTGCTAGGCACTTATCATATGCTTAGAATTGTGCTACGTACGACACAGAGTAGCAAAAAAACAAACCAAAACAAAACAAAAACACAAAGTCAGGGCCCTTGTGTTCAAATAGTTTGCCAACAGCATAGACAGATAAGATTAACTATTCATTTTAATTTCCTACTACTCGAGGAAGAAATTCAACAGTCAAGTACAAAAACACCAGGTCGTGACAAAAGGGGAAAGGGGACTGACAGGACCTCCTCTGCCACGTGCAGCCGTGCAGCTTGTCGGGAGCACGTTCTAAACTGGAAAGTGCTCTCAGCTACTGTCAGTTGGCCATTATTTTCAAGTGGCACATCAAACTCTTCGTGGCTTTAAAATTCACCAGTCAAAAAAAGCCATTCTCCTCTCTAGAGAGCCCTCTATGATAAAACTACATCTTCCATAATGCATGGGATTCTTACAGGGTTCGGAAATCCAACTAGCTGTGCGTGACTACTTGGATTAATCGCAGCTTCTTGGTTGCCTGCTATGGCCTCTGGAATTATGGTCGGATTCAAGACAGCTTTTTTCTCTTTTAGATTAAGAACCAACCCAAGCTCTGGTAAGGGCAAGCAGGAAGGTCTACTGAGGCCAAAGAGTGTGAAGTACAAGTCCACAGCACCACACCGTAACCTCCAGTCATGTGACGTTCCTAAGAAGTAAATAATAAAGAAATAAGTCAGTACGTACATTTATCCACAAATTTTTAACTGTTCTACAACCCACAAAGGGGAAAGGATTATGATGTCAAGGGGCCATTTAATGACCTGGGATCCACTGGCAAACCCTCTACTCTCAAAATGCATCGTAACACAGATATTCAGAAATTGTTATGGTAGCAGGAAATGCTTTTTTTCTTAAAAAAAAAAATTATTTGAGAGAGACCGCGCACACACAAACATGTGTACAGGGGTGCGGGGGAGAGGGAGAGAGCAACTCAAGCTGACTGGGGAGCCCACGTGGGGCTCGATCTTATGAGCCTGAGATCATGACCTGAGCTGAAATCAAGAGTCAGGAGGCTTAACCAACTGAGCCACCCAGGTGCCCCTGGAAGCAGTAAATGTCAGTGAATGAAACTAATGAGTTTTATAACTGGAAAAAATGTTATCATTATACCTTTTTTTTTTTTTTAAGATTTATTTTAGAGAAAGAGTACAAGTGAGTAGCGGGAGGGACAGAAGGAGAGAAGCAGACTCACTGCTGAGTGTGGAGCCTGACCAGGGGCTCCATCTCAGGACCCTGAGATCATGACCTAAGCTGAAAGCAAGAGTAAGATGCTTAACCAACTGAGCCACCCAAGTACCCCCATTACACCATTCTTCTTAGCAAATGCATATTAGACATTCACTAAAAATTTAATATTCCCCAAACAGTATTTTTTTCTGGCTTTAAATCTTCCTTTTAATTCCTCCTCCTCGGTAACTACTCCATGTTCACTCATTTTCTGTTCATCTTGTCGGATTTTCTTCTTGAACAGCCCATTAGGAAGACAGCACACCATGAGCCTTTATGAACCCTACCACTTGAAACAAATTCTCCTGTCAAAGTTATTACTTTTAGGTTTAAAATATGGTAAGAAATCCTACAACTTCTTAAAATAACATGATTCAAAACTTTATTGAGGAGGAGGAAAATGTTTTGCTAAATGTCTTTATATTTGTGTTGCTCTACTAGGTATTTGTTTAAAAAATAAAAATTAAAGGAAAAAGCAAATCCCATGGATAGCAACAGCTGGTAAAACACATACTGATCAGAAGACTGACTGTGTAGAAATTCGGTTTAAAGTCATTGAGAGACTAGAGACAAGTTCTTTCAATTTCTCTGATGAATCTCGGTCTTTTTTATCTTCAAAATAAGGGTTTTGATCTTAGATTACACATTATCCCATAAAATAGCAGATCAGAGAGCAAATCAATACCAGAGTTCTTTCTCACTTTCCCTTTTTTCCCCAAAAGAGCCCTCCAGGAAGATACTGCCATCAAATGGAACTGACTGAAAGGACAAAATCTGTCACCTGTGGCTTCTAGGAAGAATTTAAAATGAAGTACAGAATTTAAAATAAATGAAAAGTGACATGTAAATTCTTCTGGATAAGAAAAATCCTACAAATACTTAATTTTGATCAAGAACTGTGATTTCAAAGGAGGACCATAATGTAGGAAAAGAGGTTGCTACAGCAAATTTTAGACAGCATAAATACTAGGTTTTGTGGTTTTCAACAAATATAGAATGAGTAAATAAACTGCCATCAGTCATGTAGTGGTTCTGATGAGACTTACTCAAACAGGTAATAAACAGGACATAAATTTTATGCCAAGGAAATTCATATGGGAGGAATTATTATTTTGGAGAGTTCACACTATATACGACACTGGGCTAGGCACTTTACATGCCTAAGTCTGATGTATATGCCTATATGATGTACCTGATGTACATGAAAAAGCTAACATTAATCCTGTTTGAGACATCTTAACTTTGCTACTATGTGAGAAGGTAACAGATAAATAGCATTGTTAAAAGCAAAAGAAAGGCAAGAGCTCCTAAGGAGGATGAGGTTTTTGCCACAAAAACTACAGAGAAACTAGACATGGCAAGAACAGTATGGATTGAAGAGTAAGGATTTTATGTTGGAAATCCATTTCTTTCTGTGGAATACGGAGATCTGGACATTTTAATGGCCTACCATTGCTTAAGTTTTTGTAGGCATCCACTGTTCTCCTCCTCGAAGCATTTTCCACACGTCGGTTCCACAAAGGGCAGGTATCGGATTCCTGAGGCTTTTATTACGAAGCCTGGATGGGCTCAAACCTCTGAGGGAAAGGAAGGAATCCTGCCAGAGCAGCGAGCACTATCTACTCATGGGCGTCACAAGTAAAGGAGTGAACCTCAGGCATTTTATCAGCAAAGAAAACTGGAACAGTTTAGGGTACATTTACACTGGAAGAAAACTTAGCCTTGAAGATTGGTATCACCTAATTACATCTGCTGCAAATAACCATCCTGAACTACGTTGTAGATGACATCAAAACCAGTCAGGCCATTGAGTGTGAATTCCTAAGTTTAAATAAAAATTATTAGCAAATGGAAAATGTACATTTTGATGAACTAGGGTGTTTTTTTTTTCAAAGTCAGCTTGAAGATGATTAGGCAGCACAGTGAAGGCTGCTAAATGCACTGAGCCCCTAGAGTAAGAACTTTGATGCTTTTTACTTCTATGTGGGCTTTCTGGTTTTGTTTTAAGATTTTATGTATTTGAGAGAGTGGGCGGGAGGGAGAGCATGTGCATGGGCACAAGACTGAGAGGAGGGGCAGAGGGAAAGGGAGATCACCTGCCGAACAGGGAGCCCAATGCCCGGCTCGATCCGAGGACCCTGAGATCATGACCTGAGCCGAAGGCAGACACTTAACCGACTGAACCACCCAGGTGCCCTGCACTTTGTTTCATTTTTTGAGGATTTTGCTAGATCCTCATTTGAATGGAGGAATGAATACTGTCTTGTTCCTGGGGGAAATTACTGATAGTGTTTCCTCCCTCAAAGAACTGATGTGTATGTATTAAAATGTAGGGCTGGTAAGAGGGAGCTAAAAAATGAAGAGCAGTACTTCCTATAAAATTACAAAAGAGAAAAAAAAACAAAGCTCTATTCCACTTCAAAATCATAGAACAGAATCTGAAAATGGCTGTCCTTATGTACAGTGCAACTAAGTTGAAAGGCATACCGGGGAAAACATTTCTGCTAAATGGCCTGCTGGCTCTGGGATCTTGGGCAAGTCAGGTGCCTGGGCCCTCAAAGGAGAACACAGATCTGAGATAATGTGTAAGGTCCCCTCAGGTTAAAATTCTATGATTTCAAATCAATCAATTCCATTAATGAGAAGCCCTGAAACAGTTCCTGACTTCTACCCTCAGTTACAGCATTTCGAAGACGCTCTTCTAGCTTACATGGCTCCAATCATGGAAGCGGCAAGGAATGCTCATAATATATGAACAATACAGTTATTTGCTCCTCTCGGGTCAAATGCTGTCCCATCCTGTCCTCACTAGCGGTTACACTCTGGGACCCACCCTGCTTACCTGAAACAGAAGAACAACACTCATGAAGAAAGGAGGACACCCAGTACTGATGTTCTCTACTCCAATCACGGAGTTTCTAAAGACAAACTCCCAAAAGGGCAAATCTGACACTATAAGAGCATCTCTTCGTTTTTTGAAGTAATTGCTACTAAAGCTGATCAAGCCAAAACACTGCTAAGAAGAGAAGGAAAGCAAGCCACTGTTTCCAGGACACTTTTCAAGAAACCCAGCATTTCTTATTGATGAAAGAACCTTGGAAATCTGAGCAGAGCTGAGTCAGGCAAATAACAACTGCCCGAGGGCAGGTCTATCCTGATCTCCCCACGCCTATTACACTAAGTAAAAAAATTTCACTCACAGCCATTTGTGTGTACATGGATGAAATTTCCTACAAAATATGTATTAGTGCGTTTTCATTTTCTTGACCATTGTTCTTCCTAAAAAAGAGTGTTTACAGGGAGAACACCAGAAGGCCAGAACTTTGAAATCTTCTGATGTTAATATCAAAACTGTCTATTTTCTTACTCTGAAATGTGGCAAACTCCACCAAACAATCTGAATTAGAAGCTTTCATTCTACCCCCTAGAGGATAGTTGTACACTTCCAAACACTAAAAAGTATGATATAAACAGCCATCAATGTCCCGAGCAATTTCATAAATGCTCTCACGTCATTGTCACAGTATTGTGCCAAACACTGAAAAGCAACTTGGGGAGTAATGGCTAAGATTTCTTTCATAATGACATACAATCTAATGCAGGCCTCTATCTTGAGAAATGAAAAAACACTGTTAATCAGGAAAGACTTGAGAAAGTACTTACATTTTAAATAAAATGCAAAGCACCAATGAAAAACTCCAAGTATAAGTTCTTAATTTTAAAATGTATTTTTAGGGGGCCTGGGTGGCTCAGTGGGTTAAAGCCTCTGCTTTTGGCTCAGGTCATGATCCCAAGGTCCTGGGATGGAGACCCACATTGGGCTCTCTGCTGAGCAGAGTCCGCTTCCCTCTCTCTCTCTGCCTGCCTCTCTGCCTGCTTGTGATCTCTGTCAAATAAATAAATAAAATCTTAAAAAAAGAAAGGAATTTTAAAAATTGTCATGGGGTGCCTGGGTGGTGCAGTGGGTTAAGCCTCTGCCTTCAGCTCAGGTCATGGTCTCGGGGTCCTGGGATCGAGCCCCGCATCAGGCTCTCTGCTCAGCAGGGAGTCTGCTTCCCCCCATCTCTCTCTGCCTGCCCCTCTGCCTACTTGTGATCTCTGTGTGTCAAATAAATAAATAAAATCTTAAAAAAAATTGTCATAAAAGAAAATCATTGTCATGTTGGTCTATAATCCAATATCTTACATAAAGCTGTAAGAGGTAGGATTCTCATATGTTCTGAATTTTACAACATTTTTCTTTGGGAAAGGAAAATCATTTCTTTCACTGTGGAAGAAATATACACACACACACACACACACACACACACACACACACACAGCTAATAGAAGAGAGCCAGATCACAACTCCACCTGTTCCTCACTATATATGGGATAAAATGCAAACTCCTGAGGGCTCTTTACTTTTGCATCCTAATCCATTTTTCCAGATAACCCTGTTTGCCAAACACCCTTTCAGAACTTCAGGCTTTTTTTTTTTTTTAAATAGAATTCTCTTACCTAAAACATCTTCCTCCTGTGGCAAACTCCTCCATTCCTTAAGAGCTAGCTCAAAAGTCACCACCCCACAAACATTCTGCCATTCCAGGCAGGGTTCGTGGTTCTATTTTCAGATTTCTGGAGTTCTTTGCTCTTTTCCTTATTTCGGCAACTATCTCTTTGTATTAAATTCTTGTACATACAAAACATAGTACAGTGGCTACTGGAAGTGCTCAGGAAATAAATGGTGGATAAATGAATACCTGAAGCTTTAAAAAGAACTGCTTATGAACAATGTGATACTTTTAATTGAAAATAAACCTATTTATTTAAGATTCTTAAGCAACTAGAGAGAAAAACGATACAATGTGAAAGAGGTTTCTCTTTAAAAATGTTTATTCTTGGGGCACCTGGGTGGCTCAGTGTGTTAAAGCCTCTGCCTTCAGCTCAGGTCATGATCCCAGAGTCCCAGAATCAAGCCCCACATCAGGCAGCGGGAAGCCTACTTCCTCCTCTCTCTCTCTGCCTGCCTCTCCACCTACTTGTGATCTCTGTCTGTTAAATAAATAAATAAAATCTTTTAAAAAAACGTTTATTCTTTCGGAGAAGCATTATTCTTTAAAAAGTATATGAGAACAAGAACGACATTTTGGCAGAAAACTGAGGAAATGTGGATACGAGATCTACACTGGAGTAGGGCATGTTACTGATACAGAAGATAGGTTAGAGGATGTCCTTATTCTTAGGAACATATACTAAAGTATTTTGGGAAGAGTATCATGATGCAACTTGCCTTCAAACAATTCAGGGAAAAAAAGAGGTACGAAAGAAAGAGAGGGAAAAGAAAGTACGTATGGTAAAAAGTTAGTAGCTCCTGAACCGAGATGAAAATACATGGTCATTCACTGTATTATTCTTAAAATTTTTCTAAGCTTTGAAAATCTTAAAAACAAAATGTGGGGGAGGAAAAAAGTATGTGGGAAAATTAGCGGAATGGGGTAAGATATCTAATATCTGTATGTATGTGTACATACTTGTCCAGGTGTATATATGTGTAAGTGTTTTCAAAACAAAAACAGAGTAGCAACCCAGAACTTCAGACTGAGTGGAGCTACCACACGCCAGACAGACAGCAGAGACCAGGCAGCCCTGGGATCTCAAGGCAGAAGTCTGGGAACCTTCCTTGTGGTATATGGCCATTAGAATGACTCAGTTTCCAAGAGCCCCTACTTTCTTTATCTCTCAGCTCTAAATACTTGTAGTTTATTTCTAAAAAGAGTATTATTAATATTAATGACATATGAAATAAAAAAGAGCATGAATATAATTTCATATAATTAGTTCATTTGTCTTACTCTCAAAGTAATTTCAATTTTTGAAACCCTAATGCTATGTATCCTACCACAATTACTCTCTTATTGAGAAGTTTCTGAAACCAGCTAAGCAAACTTTGATTCTTCAGAAACACCTGATGACCACCTTCTAAGATGAGATTTTCTTAACTGCTATGATACTGTCTCTCTATACTATTTCAAATGGGTTCAACAAATTTTTTAACTATGCAAAGTCAACATATCTCAAATCCACTTCGGAACAGGACAGAAATAAATGAATATAATTAAATCCCCATTGTCCACAGTTTTTTGTTCTCCGTATATTTATCGCAAATGACCAGATGACCAAGGAGCCCCAATAGGGAGTGAGGGGCAGACAGATTTCGGTAGGATTTAGGGCCTGAGATGATGTTTTGGCTCCTTTTGTTACAAGCAGATTCTCACTACCATTTCTTAAAAACAATCACAAGTAAGAAGATATATAGTAATGTGAGAAATTATCATGATTAAATGCTGTTTTAATATCTTTATTTCAACTACAACTATATATATACAATTTTCTTCCCTAAAAGCTGAATATACTTAAGTGTTAACAGTGGGTTCAGATAAAACTCTGTAATGTGATTATATTAATGTTACCATTTTTTTAAAAAGACACTTTAAAAATTTTGGGGAGCCTGGCTGGGGATTGTAGGACTCTTGATCTTGGGGTTTTAAGTTCGAGCCTTACACTGGGTGTAGAGATTGCTTAAAAATAAAACCTAAAAAAAAAAAAAAAAAAAAAAAAAAATTAAACAAACAAAAAAGGGATTTCTTAGATCAGATTCATTCATATATCCCACAGGTTCAGGAGTGGAAGGGAAATGAGCAATCCTCTATCCAATCTTCCCTAATATCCAATGTCCCTCTGAAAACATTAAAAAACAAAAAAACAAAAAAACTATTCCCAACTATTCATGCCACTCCCACTGTTCATACTACTCCCATTTATTTATAACTCTGAAAGCTGAGCAATAAATTATTTACAACTACAGATCTGTTCTGTTTAGAGAACTGCCATTGAGAATTCCAAGTCCAACCAACAACTGTACTTTATACTGAACACTACCAAAATTAAATACTAAAACATCAATCTGAGCTTGAATGTATATAACCACAGTTTTCCAATGGGCTTCAAATGTCTTAGAGAAATTGTCCCATTAATCTTAAACACATATTTATTTTGTTCAAGAAATCTTCTGTAGAAGGTGTAAGAGATTCTTTATTTCATTACTACGCTTTCCTCAAAGTTGTAACCCATCCCAGTCGTGGAATCATGCATCTTATTAAGAATATATTCAACACAGTACAATTTGTGCCACATATTAACTGTTAAATGACCCTTTCCAAGTTCCTAAACTTGTGTATTCATCCCCCGGATCTAAATGACAATAATCATAACACCCTTCAAGGTACCACAAGTAGCAAAATATAAAAATTATGTAAACAGCAACAATCATTCTTCTAGGGATTAGGGAAACCATCAGAAAAATAATTTAGGTTTATCAGTAGGAAATGCTTTATGTGTTATTTTCTGAATACTTTGAGGACAAGAGCCATACTACTGTTTCAATTTAATACCTGCTATAGTGCTTTTACCTGGGGTGCTGCACTATGATTATGAAACTGAGGGACAGAGTTATACAATTACTTAACATCACAATGCTAGTAAATAAAATAATTGTTTAAAAAGAATCAGAACTTGGTATTTAGTTATGATTTAGAGAAGTGGCCGCCAATATAATAAGCAGGATAAGTTATTTTCTAATACTCTAGAGAGCAGATAAAATAACATACATATTGGAACGAATAGCAACTGCTCTCTCACCGTCTACCTGGAGCAGTTTATCTTTAAGTAAAATAAATTTACCCTTTAATTGAATTTTAAACCAAAGCTAGTACTACAATTTCAACACATCAGAGCCATACGGCAAATTTTCTTGAAGCATATACAACATTTACAAGTCAACTGGAAAAGATCAAAAAATTATTTAATAGAAATGGCAAAGAGTATGAACGACCTACAAAAAAGGAACTACAAACAGCTCAAGTATATGAGACGCATAATGATATCATTACTCTGTTAGCTTAACACCACTGTTGGCACTTAATAGGAACTAGATACTGTGCTTTACAGATAGTAACTCACTGAGTTTTCAGTTTGCAGAGGCAGAAATCAGCGCCACCTCCATTTCATAAATGGAGATACAAAGGCTTAGACAAGTCACACCTCATAAATCATTCAGCTGGGACCTGACCCTTATCCCGCTGGTTCCGGAGCCGATATGTAGGAGCAATACCTCTCCCAAATAAAGTGATTTCAAAGTGTGATGGTATCCACTGTGCAGAACGGTAACAACATACACTGTTCGTGAAAGGATACACGGGAAACTGGTTCCCCCTGGGAAAGGGAACTAGGTGGCAAGGGAAACCAGATGAGAAGACCTATTTCTCAACGTTTTGTAACCTTCTGAAATAAAAATAACAGTAGTAACCCTTTGCAGGTCCATATTTATAGCTCTTTAGTCATGTGGGATACTTCCATATAAATTAATATTTTTGTTTCCTCAACCACTTTGTGAGGCAAAGGGAGTGAACAGATCCTTAGTAAATGTCATCACGCTCACCACTGTGAAGGCAGATTTCGTAAGTATCCGTCTTAAAAAAAAAAAATGATAAAAAATTAACCATAGTTCTTTAAGTAGTGAAAACTTTTTGTAAAATGAAAATACTCGGATAATAAATTTTTTAAAAAATTCTTACCAGAATTCATAAGTTTCCAAAGTTGATCTACCAAGGCTTCATTGCATAATGGAGACTCCATGTTCTTAGTAAATGGTGGGTTCTTTGTCAGCATGTTTAGAATCTTATGTCTGAAAGATAAAGAAAAATCAAACTTTTGCTGACCATGAACTAAAAGCATTTGAAAATTATCTGTAGTATCTCCTTCCTATTTTATCATCTCTTCTTAGATTTATCTTTGTGTTTAAGTTTAACTTCAAAAGACATTATTTCACACATAATATTTACTATTGTTTTTTCACTGGAAAGATTCTGGTGGGTTTGTTCTTTCAAAAATTACCTTAGTGTACAAGGAGGTCCTTTAAAACGTGACTTTATGTATTCCTAACCAACCTTTCCCATTTCATTTCTAAAATGAACCTTTTATTCTCCTTAGAAAAATTTTTAAAGAAAAGACTGGTCAGTAAATACAAAAATCTTAAAATGGGTCAAAAAAAAATTACATATGGACCAAGAAACCAAGAAGCCTACACTGAAGTAATAAAATGAATATATACTTCATTATTATAGTACCTTTTAAAGCATGGAAATGTGCAGAAGCACTCAAAATATGGAGACCAAAAAAAAAAGGTTTCCTCAAAATGAGCTGAAGTTTAGAGGAGTTAATTAGTAAAAGTATCCTCATGCTGGTAACAGTTAAACTCCGCTACTGGGAGTTATCTCCTGTGAGAGGCCATCTGAACACTTCTGGAGTCTTCTAAAAATAGGGTTGGTGACCGAAACAAAATCTGAAAAAGAAAAATGTCCAAAGCTATGTGTAGGAGACACTAAAGAAAGAGGATAGAGAAAGAAAATGAAAAGCAAGGAAGCTATGGCAGTAGTCTAACTAAATTTAGTGCAGGGATAAGAGCCAGGCCCAGGCCTAAGAGATTCAAGACCACAGAGTAATGGAATACTTGGATATAACTGGAGAAGAAACTTAGGTTGTAATTACAAATGAGATTAGCAAAACCTTAAAGGTGAACTCAGGCAGTTTTTATATTTAATTGTTGGTGGTAAGGCATCGAACTGGATTTGTACTTGAAAAAGAGATGGGAGGAAAGTGGAACAAATAGGCTGCAGATTAAGATACTTAACCCCTTTTGGCTTCAATTTTATGTCTGTAAAACTGGAAGATGTGGACTCCCACTTTAACATCCTCTTATGCTTTGATATTTTAAGACTGTATAAAATAAAAAGACTACTGAAAAGCTTTGAGAACAAAAAGCGAAATGGAGTTATAGATGCAATTTACAGACAGGGAATATCAAAGGGGATACACACCTTCATGGATATTTCATATTCATATTTTCAAACCTTTATAAATAAACACAATTTCTATCCTTAAGGACCTCAGAATCTCTATGTAAGAATAGATCAATAATACAAGTAAACAATCTTTAAAAATACGGATGAGTTTGTTTACAGCATGTTCATGTTGTTATACTTTAAGTCTGCATTAAGAAGAAAACTGAAGTTTCCATTCCGCTGCTTTCTCAGTTATCCTCAAAGACCAAAGTGGTAGCACCCAACTAATAAAACTTTATGGCATTTACTCAGATCATCATGAACTCTTTAGAGCTCTGCCAATGAACTGAAAAGATGAAACAGAGGGTATCTTTGAAACGGTCACTAAAAGAGCAATAATGGTCAGCACACGTATTACTATTATCAAATTAAACATTTCCTCAAAAGCTTTGTGTTTCTCTAAAGTTTAGACGATAGAAGAAAGGATTTTACAAAGAAATACTTATAAGTGACTAAATACCCAGAGCAATACTCAGGAGATGAAGTTTAAGGGAAGACAATGAGAATTGTCATGCTTAATTTTACAGAGATTAAATACCAAAATTCAGAATATGCTTATACGTTTCAGACAACTGGAAGAGATCTAAAGCAAATCCTGAGAAAGTCACAGGTTTACAGTATTATTTCTCTAAACAGTTGAGAATCTTCTTGGTGGGCCAGTCCAATCTACTGCAAATCACTATCAATAAGAAACTCAAATCAAAACTAAAAACATGCTCAAAATCTCTCATGAGAAAAAGCACAAGATGTATGTGTGTCTCTTGAGGGACTGATACACTGTAATCAAACGTATGCTTCATTCCAAAACCAGAACATAATTCCATGTCATCTTTAAAACACTCTTATCCATTTTAAAGAATATAATTAATAGTTCTTCCTATCCATATAAAAAGTATATTCATGGATAGAAATGACTGGAAAGAAATAATCCAAAATGTTAAGTGTTTCTGGTTAAAATAATTATAGGCTATTTAAAGTTTTCTTCTTAGTGTGATTTTGCATTTTTCCAAATTTATAGGAATAAAAAAGTCATGCCCAGTGATGAATCACTAAGTTCTGCCCCTGAAACCAATACTACACTATATGTTAACTAACTTGAATTTAAATAAAATTTTGAAAAAAAGAAAAAGAAAAAAGTTATGCCTACTGAAAGGCATAATTTTCAAAAATGTAAATTTCATTTTAGTTCAAAAATACAACACCTAGATTTAATTATTTATTTACTGCATCTAGATTTTTTTTTTCTTTTCCCTTTTTGGATTATTTCTCTGTCTAATCAGATATGTGAAATGCACAGCAAACTTCATGGAAAAAAAGCATTAGTAAATGGTCAGGTGATTATTAAAGGTTACCAAAAGTGCATTTATTTAGTTTCAATTCTCAAGATACCTTAATGAAGAACTAAGCTACAATCTGAAAATCTTCTATTGCAAGAAAATGATACAAATAAAGTGGACAACCTTATTATTATATTTAAAACATCAAGCCAACATGAAAGACTAAGAACTTGCCCAACATTTCAAAATAAACACCTTAAAACTTTTTTCTGTATACAGTTGTCAACATAGAGATAAAATCACTTCTCTTTAACATATGAAGGAAGTTAAACATACATATGATTAGGGAAAAAGCCATACAGATGTTTAGAGGAAAAAGGAAAAAATTGCATCCAATCACTCATTTCACATGTACTCAACTGACTATTTGTAAGGACAATGTTATGTTCCATACATACAGTGACAAAAGGAAACGCGGTCCCTGTCTCTTTGGAACTTATATTCCTATGGGGGAGACAAAAATAATCAAATAGTTCTAGCTATAAAATTAATATTTATATATACAGGAGGTATTTCTTTAGTATAGGAAGAACGGCAGGATTTTTATGGGTGATTATGACTTCAGGGACATGATCTAGTACAAAGAATCAAGGAAGCATCCTTGCAGAAGGAAATTTCAAGTTTAGCTCTAAAGCATCAAGGAGTAATTACAGGTAGTTGGGTTTTTTTTCCTCCAGACTTTAAGGTTTCACCCTAAAATTCTTCAGAGCTTTATCTAACTCTACCAAAATCAGTAATTCTGACATATATAATAATAAACGCAGAAAGAGAAAATCAACATATATTTTTTAAATTTAAGTCTTATTGGGATGCCTGGGTGGCTCAGTCAGTTAGGCATCCAACTCTTGGTTTCAGCTCAGGTCGTGATCTCATGGGTTGTGAGACTGAGTCCTGTGTCAGTCTCTGCACTCAGAGGGGAGTCTGCTTGGTGGTTATCTCCCTTTGTCCCTCCCCCACTCTCTCTCTCCCTCTCTCTGTCTCTCAATAAATAAATAAATCTTAAAAAAAATTTTAGTTTTTATTGAAGACCATTTCATCATTAGCTTAAAAATCAACCAGGGCCATAAAAATAAAATGCTGTGTTTGGGGTAGGAGAGAATAATGCCAGTGACTATAAGACAGACACCAATATTTACCCATCTTTAAGACTAAGAATTCTATCCAATCAATAAAGCAGAATATGGTGGATCTGTACCGTAGTTACTTAACGAGTTTAAGAAAAAGTAATAGATTGGTGGTTGCAGGGGAAAGGGGGGCAAAATGGGTGAATCAGGTCAAAAAGTACAAAACTACAATTATAAGTCACAGGGATATGATATACAACATGGTGTCAATAGTTATTAATACTATGTTGTATATTTGAAAGTCATTAAGAGAGTAGATGTTAATAGTTCTTATCACAAGAAAAAAAGTCTGTGATTACATATGGTGATGGATGTTCACTGAACTTACTGTGGTGACAATTTCCCAATATATACTAATATTGAATCACTGTGTTATACACCTAAAATTAACATAATGTTATATTTCAATTATACCTAAAAGAAAAGAAAAAGGGAGAAAGAGTAATGATGGGAACAAAGAGAAAAGGACAGAGTTCCTATTCAAACTATTAAAAACAAAGAAGAAACACAAAAATATGGACAGATGTGCCAAGATACTAAATACATACATACATTAACTGTTACGTGGTAATACTTCTAGCCTCTGACAATTAACATTAAAGATTTTTAAAGACACGCTGAATTTTTTAACTATGAATAGAACTATGGGCTAGATGATATTAAGTACAGAATAAGAGCTTCCCTACTACTGATGATATAAATGAATCAGATTAACTAAGAAGAAAAGTGTCAAATATAATCATGAAGTGTATCTTTAAATAAGGTTTTCAGTTCAGACTGTAAATAACAGTACTCTTGAAATTTGAATGCTATTAATAGTTCCACAACAGAACTTCAAAAACAATCATTCAGGTTGTATAGTATATAACTTAGAAATACAGAGACTTCAAATATTATATAGTACTACAATCTGCTAAAATGATCTTCAAAACACAGTTCCATGATCTCAGAAATACACGCTTTAATGTCAGTTTTGATGTTGTGAACTGAAAACATAAATATACACGATATACTTTGTTTATACTCTATTTTTAATTTCTGTTCCTACTTGCTGTCAGTAGGATCTTATAAACTTCCAAGTGCATGAACTCCTGTCAGGTAAGAGATGAAGCTGGTTTCCTGCTTCTCCTCTTTTATCTGAATATACACCTGAGAACAGATGATCATTTTATCCACATCAACCATACCTTTAGTACACATCAACCAGAAAGAAAAATTATTTAAAATACAATTTAGATCACAAATCATGAACTATGAAATATTAACAGCAAAACTTTGCATGAAGATACACATATAACAGGCAACATTTAAAACAGTGAAATGGGTGCCTGAGTGGCTCAGTTGGTTAAGCGTCTACTTTCAGTTCAGGTCATGAACTCAGGGTCCTGCAATGGAACCCCACATTGGGCTTCCTGCTCAGTGGGGTGTCTACTTGTCCCTTTCCCTCTGCCCCTCACACTGCTCATGCTCACTCTCTCTTGCTCTGTTCTTTCTCAAATACATAAAATCTTTAAAAAAAAAATAAAGTTAAAAAAAACAACAACACTGAAATGGTTAGAGTTGAAAAAAAGACAGACAGAAATTAAACACTGAGATAAAAAGGTCCCTTAACCAAGAGCTCACTGCTACAACCCATCTCAAAAACTAACACTGGTCAAAGACAATGTCTTTATTAGGGAACTATAATCTCTTACATGGACTCCTCATGCCCTGACGCATTTCAGTAAGGGTAGAGAGCAGTTTGCCTGTACGCCTTTTTGGAAGAAAACAACTATCTGCCAACTTACGTGTAAAGCTGAGTAAGACAACATCTCTAGGTTTATGTTCTTGTTTCTAGTGGGCATGACTATAAGTTACTTACCACAAGTCAAATTTTATTTTATGAAGTCATAATCTTAAAAGAAATGACAAAAATTTAAGTGTCTCATATATACAAAGAAAGGAAGACAGAAAAGGTAAAAAATTGAATCCTATTCAAATAACTATGAATTATATGTTAATAAAAAATACACTATGAAGATCCTACTTTGCAAAAAGAAAGCAAGAGAAGTAAAGGAAATGAAGACTAGAAGAAATACAAAAATGAAGACTTACTAAGTCAGGACTGGGATTTTCTTCTACTTTCCTCTTATACTTTTTAAATCCCAGGTCTGTGTATTAAAAATGGAGATTTTATAGGAGATAGAAAGAAACAAATGGGATACACCAAGACACTTCTCTCAATGACTTGTAAAATAGACTGAATCAATCAATACAGATATAAATTCGGATATATAAGGGATGTACCATGTATACTACAAACTGTTATATAACCTTTTCTTTGAATTACAATGGAAGTTGTATATAAAGTTGCAGGAAATGAACTTTGCTTATTAACAATGTATTTTTTAGGGACCCCTGGGTGGCTCAGTGGGTTAAGCCTCTGCCTTGGACTCAGGTCATGGTCTCAGGGTCCTGGGATCGAGCCTCACATTGAGCCCCACATCGAGCCCCGCATTGGGCTCTCTACTCAGCAGGGAGCCTGCTTCCTCTCTCTCTCTGCCTGGCTCTCTCCCTACTTGTGATCTCTCTCTAATAAATAAATAAAACCTTTAAAAAAATGTATTTTTTAATGTATTAAAAATGTATTTTTTTAAAGGTTTTATTTATTTATTAGAGAGAGAGAGAGAGAGAGAGAGAGCATGTATGAGCTGAGGGGAATGGCAGAGGGACAGGGAGAAGCAGCCTCCTTGCTGAACAGGGCTTGATCCCAGGACCCTGAGATCATGACCTGAGCCCAAGGCAGACGCTTAAACAACTGAGCCACTCAGGTGCCCCAGCACACTAAATTTTTAAAAAAGCACCTTAAAAAGGACATTAATACATGTATAACATATTCCTCTTTTTTAAAAAAAATAATAAAAACTTGTTCCATGTATAATCTTGAAAATTAGTTTACTTTAGGACCTGCAAAATCAAAATACAGCACAAAAACTAACCTTACATAGGGTACAGGGTCACTCTGAATCATATTAAGTAGCCACTGCAGTTCTTCATAACTCCTGTCCACTGAAAATAAAAATAAAGAAATGTATGTTTTTAACTATAACAAATGAAATAATGAGTGACAAGGAGAGATTTACGCTTAGAATTTAGGGCAATGCCTTGGCTGTATTTTAAATCAGAGTTGAAGGCTGTCGCCGAATTCTTACATTTTTTATGAACAGGCCACTTTGTAAAACTTCACTGGTATTGTGCTACATATAGCCAAAACATAAAACAGGACCAAGTGCCTATTTTTCACTAATGCTCAAATCAATGACAAACACAACATAAAGCAAATTATAATTTAAGATCCCTAAATTAGATGAGTAACTCTAAATGGACAAAATATACTTAAATAAAATAGGAAAATTTGATACCCATTGGTATCTCGACTATGATTACAGTATACCATATGAAATACTGTTTTTACCCAAGTGGTTCCTTTCACTTAAGACTAAAGAGCAGTCTTAACTTAATAAGATAACATAACATAGTGCTATAAATATAAATGATCTGGATAAAAACACTCATTAGCAATTTCTGTTCACCTTTTCAACAAGTTACGTACGCTTTTATGATTTGAAAACCTTTACTATCAGAATTTTATTTCTGATCTCTTCTATTTTTTCACTTTCTAATGATCCAGATATACGGATAATACTAAAGCACCTCTCAATTATACTTATTAACTTAGCATTCTTTTGGAAATCATAATATTAGCATTCTATTTCATTTCAGGTAATACTAATTCATGAAATCTTCATATGTGGCAGTAAACATCATTCATGTATTTTGGGGAAGAAAGTTGGGAATACTGGCGTATTTGGTATATCTCAGGATGTCGAGATTTCACAAACTGGTAAAATGTCCAAACAAAATAGGAGACTGATAGATTACATTATTTTTACTTGAGGAAATATCCATTAAAACAAAATCACTATTTTCACTGCCATTTCTTTTCTTTTCTTTTTTTTTTTTAAAGATTTTATTTATTTATTTGACAGACAGAGATCACAAGTAGGCAGAGAGGCAGGCAGAGGCAGAGGGAGAAGCAGGCTCCCTGCCGAGCAAGGTGCCCGATATGGGACTCGATCCCAGGTCCCTGGGATCATGACCTGAGCCGAAGGCAGCTGCTTAACCAACTGAGCCACCCAGATGTCCCTTCACTGCCATTTCTTAAGAGAAAGATTTATTGTTACCCTCAATAAAAAGAACAAATGAGGGGAGCCTGGGTGGCTCAGTGGGTTAAAGCCTCTGCCTTCGGCTCGGATCATGATCCCAAGGTCCTGGGATCGAGCCCCGCATCGGGCTCTCTGCTCAGCAGGGAACCTGCTTCCCTTCCTTTCTCTCTGTCTGCCTCTCTGCCTACTTGTGATCTCTGTCAAATAAATAAATAAAATCTTTAAAAAAAAAAAAAAAGAACAAATGACCATCCTTTCTGAACTTAGCCCAACATATATAATATACACTATTTTGTTCTACACCTTTATAATTTCTGACTATACACACACATACTTCTATTGAAATTTATAAAAAAATGATAAAGATTTGGGTAGATTTCCTCTAATATGTAAAAATTAACCAGTATCTATTAAACAACTTTGCTCACTCCTTCCTCTCCAAAGTCAGAAGAGAAGTATAACATACTCTAACTTCTTTACTCTTCCCAAATTTTAGCATAAATCTGGAATTCTATATGTAAATTAAATTATAGAGTTCTTATATTTGCATATTATTTTTTAATTTTTTAAAAGATTTTATTTATTTGAGAGAAAGACAGAGCATGAGCAAGAGGGGGACAAAGCAGGGAGGAGAGTGGAAGCCGACTCCCGGCTGAGCGAGGAGCCCAAACTGGGCCTCAATCCCAGGACCCGGAGATCATGACCTGAGCCGAAGTGAGACCCTCAACCGACTGAACCACCCAGGCGCCCCTGCATATTATAAAGAATTATTTTGGAGGGGTGCCCAGGTGGCACAGTCAGTTACGCCTCTGACTCTTGGTTTTGGCTCAGGTCACGGTCTCAGTGTCATGCGAACAAGCCTTCATGCGGCTCCTGCGCAGTGTGGAGTCTGCTTAAGATGCTCTCCTCCTCTGCTCCCCCCACCCTACCAAAATAAATAAATCTTTTATAAAAGACAAATTATGTTTGCATTAAATTTTCTAACCATGCCATTAACAAATATTTAAGCTTAGTTCTAGTTTTGTTTTGTTTCTTTTTTTACAGGCATAGTCATTCATCACTGGGTCTTTCATTTCACACTTTCTTCAATCTTGAGTTATTATTTGATTCACTTCTAGCTCAGCTGAAAATTCTTTGGGAATTTTGTTTTAAAGAGTGTTACAAAGGAGATGTACTTCTAAATCTTTAAGACTATATGACTGACAACCTGGCAAAAAGAGAAGGTAGGATTGCACTTTTCCCTAAACATTACATTAGCCCTTTGTTCACTATCTTTTGAACTCTTCATATTCTGAAGAAGTCACAGGCCACAGGTAAATCATTATTTTTTTATCCTGTACAATAACTAGGTTCTGATATTCCTAGGAACTTATACACTTTTTCTTTAACCTTAAAATTTTAAATTTTATCAGATTTTAGCTTAAGAAGTTTTATTTTACTCTTTCAAAGTATTCTATTTTGGATTATTGTTTTTCTTCTACCTGTTCTATTCTTCTTGACTGAATTCTTAATATTTTCATCTCTTTATTTTTCTGCCCTGTATATCTTTAAATGTCTTGAATACACAATATTCTCTTAGTCACTTTCTGCTCTTACATTTTTTTCAATCTCATGAAGCCTGTTCTAAGGTACAAGATGTTTTCTTGAGTCCTCAGTTAGAAACTTCCCAAAAATCTTCTTCTAGTTTTAATAACATGTAATTAAAGCTATAGAGTAATACTACTGACTCCTTAGAAAGACCAAAGATACCTATCTCTAATTTTATTCTTTTCCCTCACTTATTCTTATGCAAGTTCTACATTTATCAAAAATTCTTTCTAAAGAATTTAAAATTTAAAAACCTATTATGTAATAGGAAATCCCAATAACTAAGATGGCTTTAAATATTTAATAAACATTTCCTTCTAAAATGATATGCACATACGCTTCTAAAGCATTACCTTTAGTATAATCAACGACTGCTTCCAAAGCTGCTATCCTGATGTCCACAAAGTGGCCATACTCTGCATAAGATTTAAAAAGAGCTGGATCACTTGGAACATGTCCATTCTTCTGAAGCACTCGTATGGCTCTCAAACAACTAGGAAAAAGAGTACTTGCAGTTAAATATTTCCATAAAAATATATTGAATCAAACTTGTTTCCAGACATTAGGAATCAATCTGTAACAGCAAACTGAAATGCTGATGTGATCTGAATCTTTTAATTTTGTAACATTAATTTTATGCAGTAATTTAGTCAACAACATCATAAAAGTGAGAACTGATGATATCTGAACTACTGGATCAACTTTTTTTTAGCAAACTCCTAAAGAAACAAGCTTTTAATAGCCATATACAAACAAGTTGACAGAACTAAAGTCATCTAAATAAGAAGCTTAAATAATACAGAGATGTTTATACTATATCCAATGGGATAAAAACATTTTCCAGACATCAAAAATAATGCTATGAAGAACTTCTGATGACATGAGAAAGTGTTGTGATAAAAGAATATAAAAATTTATATATATAATATGTATCACATAATTAAAAATGTATTTAGTTACAAGATGAAAAAATTTAGAAGGCAATTCTCCAAAACACTAAAAATACATCTGTGATGGTATAATGATAAAGGATTTTAATTTTCTTTTACTTTACTATATTTCCTATAATTAGAATAATTTCTATTATAAAAGCAAGTAACTTTTATTATACCTGACAGTGATGGTGTGTCTATAACTTGGAAGAAGTTTTTCCATATTCAAAAACCTGGTGATTTCTTCAAGAATGAGTCTCACATCTGGATTTAAGTTGTCCAAAGTTCGAACTTCATTATTCACACTGACTGCTGGCGTAACAGAGTTGGCAAGGGCATCGATCATTTCAGCACGATAATAGTTATCTGAAAACTAAGCCAAAAATAATTGCAAGAAACAAAATTCACACTTCTGTTCAAAAATTAATAAAATACTTATAACTTCAAAACATAATTTATCAGAAAACATACGCAAGTTCTTGGGTAATTATTTAACTATGTCTTTTGTGTAGTTATTCACTAGGAAAAAGAGTAACTCACTAATTAGTAATACATTAGTTTACTCAACTAGTATTTACTGCATATAAGAGGAACCTAGTTAGATTCCTCTCAAAGGAAGACCACAAGCCACAAAGCCTACTGGTAACACACAGCTTGAAATCGGCTGTTTAGCTCTATTCTCACATATAAATTTATAATCAAGAATCACCAGATATTTAAGGAAAGCATCAACATAAAAAAGGAAGACCAGAACAAACAAAAGGAAGAAAAGCAACCTGTTGGAAAGAGTTTGCAAGGAAAAGAACACTGCTAAGGGGGAAGAAAATCCAAAATCTATCATGAACACTGTCTGAGAAATAACTGAAGGTATGCCTTCCAACTGCATAACACATTTTAAAAAGAAAAAAATATGCAGAGATTAGAAAAAAAATGCAGAGATTCAGAATCAAAATTAAATTGGAATATAAAATTGAAAAAAGTTCCTTAAATTCTAAGCAAAAAGGAAGATACAAAGTAAAAAGAAAAGGAAACTAGGCCTGGTGTAGAAGATATAATAAGGTACAAACAGGAGATCTAGCAAGAGAAGCAGAAAGATGAGAGGAGACAACCATCCAAAACAATTTCTAAATCCATATCCCAGTCAATTCCCAGAGAAACAATTTATTGAAAGCAATCTAGGGTGGCTTGATTTAGCCTGGGAATTTGAATATGGAGCAATTAATTTTATCATCAGTGGGAATATGATACAGTTTTATATCATTGGGAATATGGTACAGTAACACCAACTGCCAGGGGACAGAGGGGGAGCACCTGTCCCCTGTGACTTCCATGGTGGAGGCAGAAGTTCACAATGACAGTTTTAACAACAGAATCCCAACACGTGCCTATGTTCAGATACTGGGCAGAAAAAAGTAAGGCACACACAAAAAAACAAAAATCAAAGAAAAAAATACTCCACACATGTTCACTATGGACCAAGTTTTGTTTTCAAATCATTTTCATGATTACAAAATTAATCACTAAAATTTTAATCTCTAAAAGTCCTATCTTTCCTTTGGAGCCAGGGAAAAGAATCATGGATTTTTGTCAGCCTAATTTTGTTTTAACATTGTGGCATTTATCAACCTTTTCTTTTCCAGGTTCTAAGTCTTGTTTCCAATTTAGAAAGACCCTTTCCATTCAGAGATTATTCAAATTACCAGTTTTCTTCAAATATTCTGATCGCTTCATTATTACCTTCTGATAACTACTTTGCCAACAAAGCAAGAGTCCATTTACTTAACCACTATTTCTGACATAAGTAGTCTAATCACAGAATGAACCTGGAAATTAAAAATAAGATGGGGGAATGGGTGAACTAGGAAAACCAAAAAGATTTAACATTTATCCCTCTGACCACATCCAATTTTCACAGCTACTATAATCCTAACTGAACAAGCTAGATTATCTGATCACCTTAAGGTTATAAAAGACAAAGAAGAAAAAATAATTTGCAGAACACATGGAAGGTAGAAGGTATTCGGTATAGCAAAAATTCCTACAAAAAACAAAACAAAAAAAACCCTGAAGGCATCAGTATCAGTGTACTATTGCAAAGACTGATGTTTTTAACAATGATCTTTGGGAATCAGGAATAGTTCAACCCATGTTCTGTGTACTGTAATTAACAAAACAGAAATTCCATAAGCATATATTATTTATTAGAAATTCATATATATGTATAAGAGATTATCATAGAAAATGGCTAATAACTAGGCTTTAAAGGGGTTTAATTTCAGACTTCTTGAAAACTTACCCAGAGTACTAAATTTCATGCTCTACCCAGTTAACGAGATGTTAAAAAATTTTTAAATATTTTCCACTGATTCTCAACTTCTTTTTGGCATTTCTACACATCTGGCTTATTACCCTAAGGTAAATCTTTATTAGCTTCTAATCTCCTCAAAGGGAAATTGAGATAATAGTCTCTATCTCAGATATCTGATGAGAATCCTATTAGATTATACATATTTTGGTACTGGCCATGGAACACACAAAAAACAGCTTATTTTATTATTACTATTGTTATCATTATTGTATTTATTCTATCCTTAATATCTTCCAAGATTAGTATGCTAATCTTACAGCCACTAACTATAACACCTGATTAGCCTTCTTCTCAAAGTTACAAGAAATTGAGTCTTACTCTGTTCTGCAAAAAAACAATGGAAGTGTAAAATTTCGTAATGTCAGTATGCTCCTTACAAAATCCTAAATGATGACATGGATGATAGCATCATATAAAGTAGCATAGTGCACTAAAAAGATCACCATTAGATGGGTGGCAATAGCTCACAGCACAATTCCCAGATTACACTTACTGTTAATTTTCAACTCTCGACCTCTGTGTTCTTCTTTCATTTGTCAACTCCAAAATAAGTAAGGTTTAAAGAAATTAAGGTAGATGAAATCACTTTACAAAGTAAAAGTACTATACTGGGGCTACCATGATTTTAATTACATAAGCAACCCGCCAAAACAAGAACTGACATAAACAATTTTACAAAGTATTTCCCCCTTCCATCTGAATGTAATTTTGATTCGATATCATCTGAAATTCTAACCTTATATCTTCAAATAAAAGAAATTCATGTGAGAGGAAGAAAGGAATACTATAAATCAAAGTCAAAACAAACCAGAAGGCTAGGAAAGAATCTTATAAAAAAATTTTTTTAAAGATTTTATTTATTTGACACAGAGAGAGAGATCACAAGTAGGCAGAGAGGCAGGCAGAGAGAGAGGGGGAGGCAGGCTCCCTGCTGAGCAGAGAGCCCGATTCGGGGCTCGATCCCAGGACCCTTGGATCATGACCTGAGCTGAAACCCACTGAGCCACCCAGGCGCCCCTAAAAATTTTTTAACAGTATTCAAAAATGGAAAGAAAAAGTCTATCAACTATTATGTACTTTTAAAGTACTAATTTTTAAGGACTCTTTTTAGCTTAAATCATTTGAATATTATTCTACAGACTTGAGGAAAAAATGGTCTTCCTGATTTTCATTACCATTCACCATTTTTTAATAAACATACTTGTCACTTTTTCCTTACTGTTGTGATGTTTCATTAACTGTTCATGATTTCGACTTATCTGCCATATCAGATACATGTGTCTTTACATGTCCTGTTCCTTCTTCCTGGAATAACACTGGGAAAATCCCATTCATCTTTAGGACTCAGTTTGAAAGTCACCACTTGTATACAAAACTTCCCTGAGTTTTTCTCTCTATACCCTTTGGAAGGCACTACTTTCTTTGAATTGCCCTAGAAAAGTCTAAACATATTTCTACTATGGATGACTATTAACTGCTTACTTCTCTGATTTCCCCATTAGGTTGAATCTGTGAGGGTCCAGAGTCAATCTGTAAATACAGCAGTTGTTCAAGAGATGTTTAATGAGTAAACATTAATAAATTAATTAATAAATTAGTAAATTCTGGATGCCATCTACCAATTCTTTTTCTGTTTAACACAGTATATTGCCTAGCACAGCATGTATTTTCAAAAACATTTGCTGACTGTTAGAATTACAAGATGAAATGATTTTGAAGCATAGCACTCAACTGCTATTTGCTAAATAAATTAATAAACATACATTATAGTAAAAAGTTAAATTTATTAATGAACAAATTATCCCTGGAGGGAACTGTTTTCTGTGTATCACATGGCAATAGAAAAAGGAATAAAAAATAACTGGGCTGTCAGACTTCCCCAAATCAAGTTTTAGTTGGCTTCCTGAAATCTGATACACTACTATTTCCACATTGCAACAGGTATGAGGAACATGCAAAAAAAAACAACTAATTAGGGGCGCCTGAGTGGCTCAGTGGGTTAAAGCCTCTGCCTTCGGTTCAGGTCATGATCCCAGGGTCCTGGGATCGAGCCCCGCATCGGGCTCTCTGCTCGGCGGGGAGCCTGCTTCCTCCTCTCTCTCTGCCTGCATCTCTGCCTACTTGTGATCTCTGTGTGTCAAATAAATAAATAAAATCTTTAAAAAATTTAAAAAAAAAACAAAAAAACCCACAACTAATTAAAACAAACAAACAACTAATCTTGGGTTGTCTTCCACTGGTTATTATAATAAATCATATTTGTGTATTATGTAACAAATATATACTGTATATAGTCTCAAGAAATTACAAGTACCATGGACTCAACAATGATTTCACAGTCTAAATATTTCTTTAAGAACAAAATGTCACTAGGTAGTTTTATAATATTCGTTAAAGTATCTTACCTTATTTTTTCTGTTGTCATTGTACTTGATTAAGTCTAAAATGAATGTTAAGACTTCTTTGGGACAAAGGTTGTGAACATCTCTCAATAAAGCCATTGCAACTGGCATAGTCTACAAAAAAAAAAAAAAAGAAAGAAAAACTTTTTAAGCATATAATAACCTCTTCTGTTACTACAATTCATTTTAGTACATGCAGAAAAGGTTTACTCCAGGACTGACCTAGGTATCTGGATGGCGCTTAACCCTCTAATTCTCACCCCTTCTCACCGGGAACACGTGATACGTTGCAACAGAGAGCAGAGTGACAAACCAAGGGCGGAGTAGTCAGTAGCCTGTGTGCTTATGTCTTCATTCCGTGAAGTAAAGTATATGTCATTATTAATTATATAAATGCAGTTCTGTGTCTTACAGTGGAAAAGGAATGGGTTTTAACACTAGACAGACTATTCTTCAAGTCCTACTCTACTACCAAGACGATTATTTTAGCCAGCTGCCTAGTTAAGAGCCTTGCTTCCTCACAACCATGTTTAGGATCAGATGACACAGTGGCTGGAAGCATGAGACAGACAGGAAAGAGATCATGAGTCGGAGAGACACTGATTCTGTAGTACCACCCCACTCTCAACCTAAAGAAAAATGGTAAATTATCTAAAATCCAGCTTAACTTTTCCCTTTCCAGATTTTCACAGGGAATTTTCCTAAAGAAGTGGAAACCTGACTCACACAGTGGTAAACTTTACCAGTAAAACCAAGCTATTTAAACTCAAGAAAGAACCACAGATGAAGTCATCACAGTCCTCAGTACCCAGGGAGATTTGGACTATGCTCTCATCTGATTCAAACTAACAGCATCTTCCAAACTGCAGGACAAAAAGGAGGGTAAGCTCCTTTGCTTGCATGAAGGAGTAGAAGCGGTAAGACCGTCAGTGTTACCACGATGTAACAAAAGACAGTATTCGTGCCCTAAGAACGGAAGGAAAGGCTCTTTTCCACAGAAATACCTGTCCTATGCCTGTTCTGCCCTTAAGAGACTTAGGTTTGACTTACAGTAATCTTTTCTCAGTCTTTTCTGGCACCAAAGTATTATGTGAAAGAAACTGGTCTACAAGCATTACTTTTCCAACTTTTTTGACTGCAAGCCACAATAAGAAATACATCTACATCCCAATCTACACACACACCAATGTCATGTATACTAATTAAAACCACAAACACTTTATACCTACCCTTATAAGATATGTTGCCTTCTGATACTGCCTACTATTTTATTTAAAAACAAACAAACAAACCAAAACTTACAAATTGATCTCATCCCTCTCACTAATGGGACACACCTCCCAATATGAAACACAATGTAAGGTATATGGACACAATGGCACAATGAAGGGAACATTCTGGGTAGACACAGAAATTAACTTGTCTCCATACCATGGATTAGTGAAATGGCAAGAGAAAGCTGAGCAACAAGTTAAGTACTAGAGAATGTTCAGTCCTTTAAAATGACACGCCACCTAGACTTCTTTGATCACACCAATACTGGCTTTCCCAAAACCTGGTTCATCCTGAATCTGTTCTGCTGATGAAATTCGCTCTAATTATACCATGACTTCTATTTTCAGTAGGTATCTCCATGTGGCTGGGTAATCTTTTCCTTCTCCCACTGTCACATATAAATCTCACCTTACCTAACAATCCCCTCAACATCTATCATTTCACTTCCACTTTACTTTCCACCTGCCTCAGAAAAAGGAATGTTCTTATCTTTTCTAAAATAAACCTCCCAACTGTGTCCCACCCACTCCTGTATCTTTAGAATTGACTTCACCTTCTCTTTTTTATATTTACTTGCTCCCACTTGAATATTTCATCTCACCCTTTCCACAGATTCCTTTCTCTGTGCCAAACATGCCTCAAGTTTCTTCTTCCTTTATACAAAACTAACCCACTGCTTTATCCACGACAAGGCTTTCCCGCACTCCTTAACACCAAAATCATTAAATAGGCTTTGTTAGTTTTTTCTACTTCAACTTCATTCCTCTTTCTAGTTTGATCTACTTAATCTGAACTCTGCCTTTATTACATATTTTGTTTTTTTTTAGAGAGCATATATATATATATATATAGAGAGAGAGAGAGAGAGAGAGAGAGGAGGAAGAGGAACAGAGGGAGAGGAAGAAAGAGAATCTTAAGCAGGCTCCACACCTAGCAGAGTCTGATGCAGGGCTCAATATCACGACCCTGAGATCACAGACTGAGCCAACCAAAATCAAGAGGTGGATGCTTAAATGAGCAAGCCACCCAGGCACCCCTGCCTTCATCTTCATCATCATCATCATCATCATTAAATCAGTCAAAACATTTTACAGGTGGTTTGCAAATTGCCCAAATGTTGAAAATCCTGCCATTCCCATATCCCTTCCTAAAACAGTGATACCATCACACCACTGTGACTTTCTATATATATATATATATGTGTATATATATATATATATATATATAAAATTTTCTATCTGATATAGTGTAAAAACACTTTATATACTTGGTCTATTTGATTTTTAAAAAGACAAATTTTACAATTGAGTAAACTGAGGCTTACAGGGTTAAGAAACTTATCCATGTGTAAACTGCTAGTGAGAGCAGAGCTAAGACTGAAACCAGAGATGGGTACTCTACTTGTCTGTTTCAGAAGGGCTGTCCACATTCTGGAAGGACTACCATCAGAAGGACTCACCCATACCTCCACCCCCTATATGAGCAACCAAAAGGTCAAATTAACCATTTCTGTTTACTTCAGTATAAATGTTGGTAGTTACTTACACACAGCTCATAATCTCAATGAATAATCAATTAAAATTTGGGGAACTTATTTTTTTTTTAAGATTTTGATTTTGAGAGAGAAAGAGAGAGAGAGCATGAGCAGGCGAGGGGCAGAGTGAGAAGCAGACTCCCCACTGAGCAGGGAGCCTGAATCGGGGCTGGATCCCAGTACCCTGGGATCATGACCTGAGCCGAAGGCAAACACCTGACTAACTGAGCCACCAAGTGCCCCTGGGGAACATTTTGAAGAACCAAAAATAGAATAAAGGCAAACATTTTATAAAAAAGTAAACACACCTGTTATTTAAATAGTCCCCAAGTTAAACTGAGATACACAGATAACAGCAAAAAACAATTATAACAAAGTAGAAAGTAAACTGTACCTTTTGTAGAAAATAGCTTTGAAAGCTCATAAAGTTGTTTGTTTTCACAATGTTTGGACAAGTTTTGCAACAAAACATTCGAGTAAAGAGTGACTTCATGGCTGGTGGTCCTGTCCATGTGCTTACCATTGAATTTGCAATCTGCAAATAATTATAATGAAGTAATTTCCATTACCACTGAAAAGATATTTTTAAATAAATAAAATAGCTTCTTAAAATCTATTAATAAAATTGGATTTTTCAACAATTTCAATTCTCAGAAATTTAATAATTTTAGCCTTTTATTACCATTTCCAAAAAAAATTAACTCACCTCCCCCCCAATTCTTATGTACACTTATATTTTCTGTAATTTCTAAGTTGGAGCATTATGTTTAAAAAAAAAAACATATTTGCAAAAGGCTTTTATTCTGAATAAGTTTGTCCTTTTCATATATGAAAATATAATTCTAACACTTCAAATTATCAAATAGAATCATCACCATGAATTTTAAATAAGGTTTTAAAGTCTACCCTAAATGAAAAATAAGCCAAGTACAGTGCTAATGTTTAAGTCTGCAAAATGTTCTAGAGAAAAACCATATATTGCTACTGAAACTTTTAGAGTATATAGAAATTATGTCTAAAAAGAATAATTTATAATTTTAAATAACAGTCTATAATTTCATGGAGCTGCTAAGAATTTAGCATGCAAGAATCACAAAGATCTTTATAGAAGCTATGAAATTATATCCTTAGCAGATGATCTATCAAAGAATACCATGTTGTCCCTCACAATCTGAGCAGGATGTAGCAATTTAACTACTCAATAGTGACCATTAAAGACAAAACGAATCTAACCATTATAATCTTTGGAAATGCTGGGCAAATGGATTTTAGCAGTGAGGAAGTCAGGGCAGTCACTAAATGCGAATGAACCTATATCAAGATTTTTTTTAAATACCTGAAACCCAGTATTTCTGGCCAAATTTTTGTCTGCGTTTTTCTGGTTTTCATTTGTTCTACCTTCAGTTTTTTTGCATCTAAAGAAAAATATTTAGTTTTCTTAATAAATTAACTTTTCTAGCATGTGAAATTGTAGAACCTACCATTTTAAGTTATATATCACTAATATTGGTTACTAAACCCAAACCAACATGAAATAATCACCACACGGACTAGTTGAGATGAACTGATTTCTTATGATATTTAACGTAAAACACTACTCAAACTAAGGAATTTCTTGACAAATGCATTCTGTGCTTTAACAGGATGGGTTTGGCAATTCAATAAAATGGTGAACAATCCTCTTTGAATTTAAAATCTGACTTTTGGTTTGACAAATAAAAAAAAAATTTTTAAACCTTGGTTTGAACTTCTGGTAAAGTTCATTCTTTTTTTTTTTTTTTAAGATTTTATTTATTTATTTGACAGAGAGAGAAAAATCCCAAGTAGGCACAGAGGCAGGTGGGGGCGGGGGGCGGGGAGGCAGGCTCCCTGCTGAGCAGAGAACTGAATGGATGCGGGGCTCAATCCCAGGACCCTGAGATCATGACCTGAGCCGAAGGCAGAGGTTTAACTCATTGAGCCACCCAGGTGCCCCGGCAGTTATAAACTTTTAATGCATTATCTATTTTCAGATCAAAATATTTTCCTTTTGAATCAGTCTTATAAACATATTTGGAAAAAAGCTTTTTGAGGGACCAGCTACCAAGTAAAATTAAAGACTTCAGTAAATGCTAAGTCATTATCAGAGTTTTTTGGGTTTTAGTTTTTGTTTTTGTTTTTTTAATGCAGTAATCGTGTTTTCTTTCTACTATACATCATCTCACCTTTGCGAGGCAGAAGCAAGCGGACATTCTTACTCGGTAGAAACACTGCTCTTGTTCTAATATGTCAGTGAGTGCAAGGCGAGATGCTGGCGTAGGGAACTTCTCTAAGGCCAGAATGGACTCCTGCTGTGCAACGACGTCCCTCTCATAGCGGAGCTGATACTGCCACATGAAATCAGCTTGCTCAAATTCTACTTTCCTCAGCACTGACATATCTGGGTCTATCCTTATCCACAGCAAAGGGGAATCAGCACTGAAAGAAAATAAAATTTTTTTTTTCAATTTTATAGAGTTATAAAATAAAAACTAAGCATTTATTAAACAGATTCTCTTCTCTATGCAACACTTAAGACTGCCTGACTTTTACTGTATTTTTTTAATCACACTGACAACATTCTCATTATATTTAATATATTTCAAACTTTCTCACAATAGCTAATCTTTACTAATCTTACTTAAAAGATCCCTCAAGGATAAGAAGACAGTGGTCACAAAAAAATTCCATCTCAAAATATTAATTTGGGGATTTTGATTTGTGCTTATATAATGTGAAAAAAAAGAATGAGATCAAATGTCTTCATTCCATGGCCTACAGCCTAACTGACTATGGCTATAAACGCCATCATTTCTTGGAATCAATCTGTGACTAAGAAATGAATTTATTTTACTAAACTAACTGATTTTTAATACTTTTTAAAAAAAATGTTAGATTCATGATCATCTTTTTCAAATAGCAAGTTCTGAAATCATAGTTCAGAGGCATATCATGAATTTATCCTCCCATACTTGTCAAAGTAACTCCCAGTTTAAAAAAATCTAGTCTATGTCAACACCATCATCAAAAGGACACTACCTAAAACACTACTTTAATTCACCAAATACTAGAGGGTGCTTACTACAAGAAAGGCACTTGATATGGAAAAAGTATATAAATAGCATATAAACAGCAGTAATATTTGGCAATCAAGCCAGTAAATAATTACTGGATTATTTATTATTATATAGATATTATATAGATATAATTAAATAGATATTTAATAAAAAAAACACAGAGGCACAATATGGAGCAAAATTAAATCTGAGTTATAGTATTTTTAAAAATTAAACACTGCCAATCAGTAAATACTACCACATAAAATTTAGAACAATGATATTTAAATTGTAGTTTGAAAGCACGGGGAGCCTCAAAATGCCCTGAAGCCTTGACCAAAGACAAAAAGAACCTGGATCATCTGAGAGCTCCCTAGAAATAGACTATCAGGACCCACTAGTGAAGCACTAGATCAGAAACTGTATATTAAGAAGATCCGCAAGTGACTGACACGCACATTATAGTTTGAGAAACACTGCACTTCTATGGACTTTCAAAGTTTTAAAAGCAGCAATTTCAACACATTTACATACTTTTAGGAGTGTGGAGTAACGAGACAAACAACAATGCATATAATATTACATCCTTAAACTCAAGTAACTTACTCCATCGCAGAAAGATCCATGTCAACTTCTTCTCCATTCATGAGTGGAATTTTTTTCTTCTTATTCCTACATTCAGGGAGAAGTTAAGTTTACAAACTGTGACATTTTCAATTCAGAAAGGAGATAAGAAGAGCTGAAGTTCAAAATAAAAACTTCAGGCAATGTTGTAAGACAGCTTGAGGAAGAAGGGATAGTGAATGTAATGGAATTTAAACACCAAAAAAATCTATTTTGAAGCTGAAGGGATTGAAGTCAATGATACTGAAAGCTCTTCCTGATGAAAGCTTAACAAAAAGCAAAAATATATAGCTAAATGCCAGGTTAAAACATAAATGTACTTCTAAAAACTGGTAATCTGCAATTTTATACAGAAAAGATCAATCTATCAACAAAGAAATCCTTTATAAAAAAACTGAAAAAAAAACCAGGCCTGAAACGAGACAAGAAGCAAGGAGCTATCCCATACGAAATGAAGTATGTGGTTAACTACAAAACATCTTAACAATATTAATTAACATGTACAACTGATCAATATGAAAAAGATTTAGGATAAGTCCTCCAAAAAGCAACTGCTTTCATGCAAATTACTCTTGAATGATAACATCTACTGGATATACACTAAAAACTTGGGAGACTACAAATTAAAATAGGAACAGAGAACAGTCTTCCCATGTTCCTCACACCAAAGAATACCCAAAGGACATACTGTTACTATAGAGAAAAAACCCTGAGGAAATGTTATGAAAAGGGTAGCAATAGGATGTTCCCAATTTCCAAGGCAGAAACAGAACAAAAGGAAGGGAAATTTCAGCCTGAACTAAGAAAGAATTTTTGCAGAGAAAAAATGGTTTCAGGGAAATTTCACAGTCAAGTTTCTCAAGGCTGTCACAATCAACTGACATCCTCATCTGTCTGACATGACCTCAATGTAGTCGTGACTGTAAAACTTCTGTTCCTGAAGTTCTGATATTACTACACAATCCTCCAGCAAAGCACAAAAATGTTCCCATCTTTTTATTCAGAATGAATGCTAATGGCTAACAACAGTGGTAAAGAAAAAATATACTACATTGAAGATGAACGGTTGAATACTTTATTATTTTTTAACATATAATGTACTATTAGCCCCAGGGGTACAGGTACTTTTTAAGGAAAATGACAATGTGCCTTTTTGAAAAACAACAAAAAGGTATTTTTGTTTGTTTGTTTTTTTGTTTTTTTAAGATTTTATTTATTTATTTGACACAGAGAGAGAGATCACAAGTAGGCAAAGAGGCAGGCAGAGAGAGAGGGGGAAGTAGGCTCCCCGCTGAGCAGAGAGCCTGATGTGGGGCTTGATCCCAGGACCCTGAGACCATGACCTGAGCGGAAGGCAGAAGCTTTAACCTACTGAGCCACCCAGGCACCTCAACAAGAAGGTTTTTTAAGGGGCACCTAGTTGGCTCAGCAACTCCTGATCTTGGGGTCATGAGTTCAAGTTCCATGTTGGGTATAGGATTGCTTAAAATAAATAAATGAAGGAGCACCTGGCTGGCTCAGGTGGAGGAGCATGTGACTCTTGATCTCAGGGTTGCAAGTTCGAGCTCCACGCTGGGTATAGAGATTACTTAAAATAAATAAATTAAAAAAAAAAAAAGAAGAATGTTCTGTAAAGGCATGGTGATACAGAGAAAAGGAGAAAGACAAAGTAAAGAAAATGCAGGGGCTTTTTATGACATAGGTGTTCAGTGCCTTCCTTTATATTTAATGATCATTTCCCCAATATTTACTATAGATATTAATCCAATAGGACTAATAAACCAAGCAATTTGCCTTGAATTTTTCCTGGCTCCAAAAAAAATCAAACTTCTATTCCACCTCCCAATGACCCTACAAAATAGATTCTTAAATCCAAGTTTTTAAATTAATTAATTCGAAGAATAAAAATGTCAAGAACAGAAAGCAAATAAAGAATATTTGGTAATACCAACTTGAAATAGAAGGAAGAAAAAAAGATACCAGAGAGTATGTTCTTTACTTAAAACTTAGGTATATATTAGGATTTTTATTTTGGCATTTTAATCCGTGAGACTTACAGTTTAGTTATAAACTGCAGTTTAAAGTTATGATTCAATGCCTACCTTCTGCTTTTGGAATGACAGGGAATATCATGTTTAAGGCTGTTTTCTTCAATTTGCAACGTATGATTGAAAGATCCATCTAACTCCTGCACTGTCACTTTAAGTGGTCCCTTTAAAAAGAAACAATGTTCAAAGATAATGCTAGAAAAATATCATATATGTATTCTTACATGTACAGGTATATATTTCAAGATATAAAACAGTACTATGGAAGATCTGTATCAGGAGACACAGAAAGGTAGTTGGTACCAAAGGAGGGGAGAACTGGGGTAACCTGTGTCCCCTGAAATCTCCATCATAACCTCCATCATTGATAGTTTGTGTTTTCTCAATTTCCACCTTTGCAAACAAAATCTCATTGTATCTTCTAATCAGTTCTCCACCCATAAGCGCTTCCTATATTGAAATGGGGAAGAAAGCAGTAAAAAAGGCCATTTGGAAAAAAAATCTTACCACATATTTCTGAGTTCCAGGGGATGTATAATCTTGCTTTATTTCTAATTCCAAAACATTTCGTTTTCTATTAAATGCAAAACTTCCATAAAATTTTACCACTCCACTCTGGTCTCTGCAGAATTGTAAAGGAACTTTTGAATTCTGAGATGAATATGTACTAAACAAAATAAATGACTCATTACAGTAGGTGATAACTTTCAGACACATTCTCACCAGTTCAAGGCCTGAGAACAAATTTCAGGGTAAACCAGGTGGCAAAGTATTCAAAATTTTTGTGAAAACTGTTTCCCCAGATTTAAACAAAATTTCTGAAATATTAACAAATTTGAAAGAAATAAAACCACTGTACTGGTTTATTAATATAATAGTGCTTTGATATGAAAAAAATGTAAAAATTGAAAAGTTCCCAGATAGCACTTAAGTTGTGCCAAACCCTAACCACATCTAAAAGCCACCAGACTGCTACATCTAACGAGCCGTCCTCCAGGTCTGTCTGGTGGATTATTCACCTCCCCCACCATCAAGCCTATTGCAATACTCACATACTAAAAAGCAATTCAAAATATGCCAAATTTTATAAGCATAAGCATATATGTGTGTATATCTCAATGATTAATAGGCACCTCAGCAGAAATGATTTACAGTTCCTAGTTATTTCTACTACCATTTAGCAACTTAAATAGTTCTTCTCCTTTGGTCTCCCAAATCTTTCTTTTGCCTCCTTCCCCTGACACATATAACCTTATTCCCTTCCCCTCCTTGGTGAGCTGCTACTGAAAAGGATACACCCACTGCTTTATTAAAGGCTGGATGTCTTTGCCAGAGACATTTGAGATGGATTTCAAAAATCCAGATGTGGAAACCAACATCTGACTCCACATATGTGACTGGAACTTCTGTGATGAAGCAGTACTAGCCAAACTTAGCAGTTTATTGAAGACCTGTACGGATGAAAAGGTCATTTAGTATGTTTGTGTAACACAATATACATTGTTTTTAATTCTGTACTATACCCATTTTGCATTATGACTTAACTATAGTCAATTACAAAGATAATACATTTCACATCTTACTATATAGGTAAAACTAGTTAAAGACTATTAGCAATAAAAGCATGCAAAGATTTAAACAGCCAGACTATAAAACTGTTCTTCCTCAAAATATAAGTCAATTTTAATGATGTCCTAGCCAAACAATGAACATTGTTTTTAAGGATTATAATAACAATAATATATAACACCTATAATTTATTGTATCATGAACTTTCAAAGAAACTAAACATTTAGCAAGTTGAGAACACTCATTAAGACTTACACAGCTCTACAAGTTTCTTTATGGACCATCTCTCATTTAATATTGCTCCACTTTAAAGGTAAGGTGAAGGACAGAAAGATTAAAGAAACTTAATTTTAAGGTAAACATAAAATGCTTTAAAAAATTACTAAAAAAATTTTTTTTCACTCACCTGATAACAAGAATGTTATCACTGGAAAAAAAAAATAGCTGACCATTTACAATACATCTTGCTTCTACTACCTCAACCACTATATCTCAACTATTTACACCAAAACTTGCTTAAAATATATGACAGAATTTAATAGTAGCAAAAATAAACATCTTTTAAACAGGGTTGGGTTTTTTTATTGAAAACACTTGTAAGTGGCAGTTCACCCTTAATATTTTAAATAATGCTAAACACAAAATCATATATACAAATAGGTTTTACTTTCATTCCTACATTCTAATTTTATATCCATGACAATCCAGCATTAAATGGGTTAAGTATTGATACTCATTCTACATCTGAGGAAACAAATGAAAAGCACTGATTACTTTGTGAGCAAACAGCTAATTAGTAACAGAATTCCTGCTACAACCCCAGAGGCCTGACTCCTATTCTACAAAATAGCATTCAGATTATACATATAGAACGTATCTTTCTTTGTAACTGTTAAGTCCTTAACTTCAATACTACTTACTTGTAGCATGAATTCCATACTGATCCTATTTTCAATCAATCTCATCACGAGGTGAGCTTTACACTGAAACATAGTGTAGTATTCCCAGGAAAGTGTATGTGGATGTTTTATTGAAAAGTGTAGATGAGATGCCGGACTAAAAATATAAACAACTGTACTTAATAAGACAAATTTGTGTTAAATAAACAAGTTTCACGGCCACATCATGATAATATAACTCAGTAATTTCTTAGCATGAGAGCAATACAAGTAGGAAACTTCTAAAAATAAATTTAACTGCAAGAAAATTAGGAGGTTTCATGAAAAAACAAAGGAAAATTTTAATAAAAACACATCCAAGCTCCTAGATAAGAACAGTGTCCATATTTTCGTGCTCTCCAAATTCATCATTATAATTAATATAATTCTAACCAATATCCCAAGGTTAAACCACATACACACAAAAAATTCCAGGTGCACTACATAACAAAAACAATTATAAAAGTACTAGAAGAAGGAAAAAAATTTCTTGTCCTATTCTAGGGTGGGAAAAATCTTAAAAAAAAAAAATAATAATAACTAACTAAATAAATAAAATCCAGGGGACAAAGACCAGACTGACTAGGTAAAAATTCTAAATTCTGAAATGATGATGATCATCATGAAAAGAAAATCATTAAAAGAAAAGTACTGTCTAGTAAAAAAAAATATATATATATAACATATATGAACACTTAAGATATTTAAAATTTTTCACTATTTTAAATAATGCTGTAGTGAATGTCTTTTTACACATGTGCAAGTATTTCTGTATGGCAAATGTCTAGAAGTAAAATTTCTATTTCAACAGAGTGAGAAATACAACTACTGAATCTAAAAATCATCTATTTTAAATGGCTATTTAATTGGTACCAACAAATTACCCTTCAAAATTACTGTACCAAATTACACTCTCACAATTAATGTGTAAGGGTAGTCATTACACTTGCTTAATAACATGGCATATCGAAATTTAAAGTATTCATCAATTTGGCAGTTACACAGTAACATATGTATGACTGAACTACATTTGGTAATGCCGTACATAAATAAAGGCACACACACACACACAAAAATGGTTATGGCTATTTCTAAGAGGAACTGGTGGGAGGGAGGTATATTGCTTCCAGACTTTTTTTGCCTTTAAAAATTAAACATACAAGAGCTAAATAAATGGGCAGAACCGAAGTAAGAGCCTTCAGTGTAAACAGTATTTACACACCATGGCAATGCTCTAATCATATGCTGGGAAACTGCCATATAGCAGGCAGTCAGGAGAAGAAAGTGAAAGGAGCTAGTATTTATGAAACTTGATTTCAAGTAATCCTCACAACCAACCTGGTTAAGGATTATTACCGTCATTTTACACATTAAAACACATACACAAAAAGGTTATGCGATTTTCTATGATCACAAAAATATTGACAAAAATCCAAGTTTGCCTAACTCCAGATTTCTATGCTTTCCTAAGAACTTACTTTTGTCTTGGTGACCATGCTACAACAAAGAAAAGGCTACTGGTTATACAACTTTAAATTTCTTAATCTCTGTGGTGATTTTTTTTAGACACTGGAGCAGCCTGGTTAATCTTATACGTCCCCTTTTGAGAAACTGCTTTCATATGCACAAAATACAATATATAGAATTACACAGAAAACCAATTGTAATGAAATGCAGTTATAAAAATATTTAAAAATTATGATATGCCAATATATGTGCTAGTTTATTAATACATTAAATAATGAGATCTGGCAGTGGTCTATTATAGTAATATTGAGGTGGTGATAAGTGCAGAGTATTTCAAAATATCTGCTAACAATTATAACATGACAGGAAAAGATCTATGATTTCTACTGTTGACAAAGTCACAGATAGTACTGTCTGTTGCCTACTTGCATAGTTAAGGAAAATATAAAATGTCAGCTAACAATGAGTGAAAATACAGAAAAACTTTCCCACCCATTTCAATCCACATTCCTTTAGGGAATCCATGGACACTAGAACAAACAAGACTGCCTGCCAGTACCATTATTTTGCTGTAAGTGGCTGTCTTCTTTACAGGGATTTGCTACACAACATAAGGAGAGAAAGAGAAAGAAAGAAGGAAGGTAGAGAGGGAGGGAAGTAAAAGGAAAGAAGGGAAAAAGCAAAGAATAAGTAAGTGTCTAGGTAGGTGACCATTCAGACAAACAGGTATAGATTGGATGTCTTGAACTTGAAATTACCTATTTAAGAAAATAATTGGTGGTCCATAAGCAAAATACTTGTTCCCATTATTTTTAAACCTTTCTAAGAACAGTATAATATACTAGCATCTGAAAACCAACATGGAAAAGGGTAAAGCCTTATATTTTTTCAGAGTCTTTAATGTTTAAATCCATTTGTAGCCATCACATGCAGTAAAAACAGTAAAGTAAGGAAAGAAGTAATGAGAGTATTACCAGTATTTGTGGTTTCAATATTACATACTATTATTTTGGTCTGTGTGGGCCTCAACACACATCCCAAGTAATCCTCAAAGACTGAACCCATAATATAAGGTTTATAATACCACCTCTGAAAAGCAAACATACTTATCCTTCTCTTTTCCTCCACCAAATATGGGATGTAGTAAAACTCCACCAGTTTTTAGTTCATATGCCACTATTTTGTCTAGCTCCTAAAACAAATAAAAATAGAAGTCAGTGCAAATTTCTTTACTATCAGATTTTAGAACTGAACTGTGATTTCTCATTTCCTGGAATCCAAATGTAAATTTCTTAAAATATGTTAAATGTATTTACAAAGTAGTTTATGTTCTTATAAACAAAGCAGACTATACAGCCAGCTCAATAATAAAGCCAAAAGGCCTTCTCTCCTTTGTGACTTCAGGGCTGACCAGCAGCCTGCCAATTTTTCTTAATGGCTCTTCCCAACCTTCTCTGACCTGTGTTCCAAGTTCATTTATTCCCTCTTTGTATTTTGTTTCTGGTGGAGGATTTAGGCAAGTAAAAAGAAATGGAAATAAAATTATGCCAGGAACCTACCATTTTAAAACTTCTTCAGTCTTCTCTAATAGGATACAGATCAAAGCAAAAAAGAAAGTTTAAGTGGAAAAAAAAAGACAACAGAACTGTGTTACAAATCATGACTAGTTTAAATAATATGTAACCTATATACAGAAGTGGTAAAAAATCATAGTGAAGTAGTTAAAAACCAGGTTTGAATTCTGGCTCTACTACTCACTAGCTGTGTAACTTTGACCAAATAATTTAACCTCTCTTCGTTTCAGTTTCCTCATCTGTCAAATGGGAGTACTAACAAGGTACTTAGGAAAATTAATAGTTAATACTTGTAAAATGTTTACAGTAGTTCCCAAAACACTGTAAGTGCTATATGTTATTTTTGCTCTTCATTAATAGTTTTTGAAATGAAGAATGGACTCTTCCAGTTTAGATGTATAAATTCTTTTTTGGTTTAGATGTTTGAAATCCTTTACAATTATCTTTCGGCTTACTTGAGTTTAGGCTGGGATGACGAAGATACATAAAATGAGAAAAGGGGAACATGGAGGGGTTTATTTCATAAAGATATTAAAGGTTGAAATTTTCCCACTTGAGAAGGAAGGAGTTAAGCACAAGATGAGTAAAATGTATATGCACGTGAACAGAAAGGGCTAGGCAAAATACATTTGATTTTTTTCTTTTTGGCCAAACCTTTAATTAATAGGAAAAAGAAGTGACAATGACAGCATAGATGCACTGAAGGGCTAGCTGGCACATAAGAAGCACTTATGATGTACAAGGCATCACGCACACTACATGTATGATGTCTCATAATCCCCATCTACTCTCCTTATAAAGATGACACTGAAAAAGATTAACCAAAGTCACAAAGCTTGTAAAGGCTATGAGGCCGACTGAAAAGTAATCTGACTCCAGAAGCTGGGCTCTAAATCTAAACAAATCTAAGAAGCACAGAGTTATGTTACCAATGACTACAAGGAGCTTGGATATATCTAATGACTAATTTGACGTTGAAGGAGCCTAAATACTTCCTTGCTTGTTAGCAAATCTTTGGAAGTCAACACTGACATGGAATTAGCTAAAAGAGACCATTAGTCTTACTCTGTAAAGTGATTTTCATTTTGCTGGGAAAAATTAGGCACTTTCAAATGACTGTGCTTTACAATTATGGAAAGTAAAGGACAAGTGACTTGTTGACTTCTAAATGGGAATGGATCTGGTTTTTTTACCTCTTTAATCCAATGGCGGTATTCATTAACACCAAAAGTTTTTTTCATCCAAAGTCCATAAATATAGCCAGAAATTCCCTTCAGTACCCATTCATCAGACCTATACAAAAAGTCAAAATGTATTCTTTTAATCATAAAAACTCTTAATCATAAAAATTTTCAGATAAGGCCAAAGAGGATAACAGAACACATAGTCTGTACTTTAATGCATTCTTTAAAAAAATGAAAAATAATTTAAAAAATGTATTAACAAAATATTTGGTTTAACCACTTTCTACCAGAAAGTTCTACTTACCCATTCATTACACCTTCCTCACATCTGCTTTCCAGTCTTATTTCAAGTAATGTCCCTACATTTGCACTGCTTCCCTCCTGGCCAACTCTGTCCATACCATCTGCCTCTAAGGAAATACTTGCCCAAAGCCAAGACTGTACTGCTCAATTTGTAAATTTCACATTTGCCAATCTCATGCATAATTATCAATGGGATTCTGAGATCGAAAGTTCAATTACTTATTTTTGGTTTTTCAAGAGGAAAGGGAATTAACACAATTCATTCATCTGTACATTCATACACTTATCCATTCATTCACTCATTTCTTCAAACATTTTGCCTACCATGTTCCAGGCACTATTCTTCACTGAAACTATGTTATTCTGGAAAAAATTACAAATCAAGAGAACTTAACCTCTGCCAACAACAACAAAAAAAGAAACAAACCGATATTCGTTTACCACATATAGCACAGAATAGTCACAAAAATAAATTATAATCTTAAGAGAGTTTCATGTCTTTCTTCAAATTCATCTCAAGTTAATAAAAAAAAAAAAACTATGTTCTTAACTCTTACTTCTTTCAAATATATTAGTACAAAGGTAAACACTAACAGGAAAATACCTACATCATTATCACTACTGTAGAAGACTGTTATTTTGCCTTATACATGATCTTGACCATTACCAGTTACATTGAACACTGACATTAGAATTCTAACCACAGTTTTCTACACATTCAAGGCCTTATGTCTACAGTATTCATTCAGTTTTCTAATAAAGTGTTGCTATCAAAATTCTTTTAAAAATTATAGAACTACAGTGCATTGATAGTCAAAAATTTGGAGTGAAATTTATACTCATTATTTTTCTCTAAATATACAGAGAGAAAAGAAATACAGGAAAAGAAAACAAAAACAAACTTTCCCAATTCTTCATCTCAGTAGTTGTAAACTATGAAATTACTCACCAAGACATTCTGGATATGAAACACCCAAAAAACTGCTGTGCTAAGGACTGGGCTAAACACCTTCTAGTCAGAGGCGTCTCATCTATAATCATGGCACTATGTAACAGATTTGTGCTGGAATTTAAAAGAGACAGCTAATTATAACCAAGAAATAAATAAATATTCAGTCAAAATAAAATAATCACACTTTCAAAATAAGAGAATTCAAGTTCAACGTAAAAGAGAAAAAACAGAACATTCTTCCAAAACTTTCACATCTTTTCAAAGTTTAGGTGAAATCCATAATCTTAATTCACTTTTGCCTAGAACAAGGACTGTAATGTTTCCCATTGATTTCTGTGAAAAATCTAAGTATCTTTTTCTGTGGGAAGGGGAAATTATCATTAGCCTGAAACAGGTATGTTCATCAGAAACTGATCCTCCTATGAAGCACTCTTCTAATTTCAAAAACCTTTTCCCAATAATAACTATTAATTTTTTTTAAGATTTTATTTATTTATTTGCGAGACAGAGTGAGCGAGAGAGAGCACAAGCAGGGGCAGAGAAAGAAGGAAAAGGAGACTCCCCTGATGAGCAGGGGGCCTGATTCGGGGCTCAATCCCAAGACCCTGGGATCACAACCTGAGCCAAAGGCAGACACTTCACCAACTGAGCCATCCAGGAGCCCCCCGCCTCCCCCCATTCTTTTAAAGTAAGTTCTATACCCAGTGCAGGGCTTAAACTCACAACCTCAAGATCAAGAGTCATATGCTCTACCAAGTGAGCCAGGCAGGCACCCCTATTAATTTTTGTGCTTCATTGTTTACTTTTAAATATGCTGACCATTAAGATCTTTCTAACATACTCCAGAAAATACAGGGGCAGTAATACTATTCCGCTTCTACAGATGAGAAAATTTAGGCTCAGATAAGATAAAATGATTGAACCTAAGGCATAAAATTTATAAATCTGGAACTTTCCAAGGAAAGAAAGTAAGTTAGGCAGGAGCAGAAAGGAAATAAATGAAGGGCGCCTTGGTGGCTCAGTCATTAAGTGTCTGCCTTCGACTCAGGTCATGATCCCAGGATGCTGGGATTCAGGTCCACACCGGGCTCCCTGCTTAGTGGGAGGTCTGCTTCTTCCTCTCCCACTCCCCCTGCTTGTGTTCCCTCTCTGTCAAATAAATAAATAAAATCTTTAAAAAAAAAAAAAAAGAAAGAAAAAGAAAGAAAACAAATGAAGTTTTCTCTCTTTTATAATTTGCAAAGAAATTTCTGACATCAGTAAATTTTTAAATGATGCTAGGGAAAAAAGCCCATTAGACATTTATATAAGTTATATAACTTATATGATTTTTTTAAAATGCATAAGAAGAGACTAAAAAAAAATCTGTAAAACATAACTATCAGTTACATCTGGATAAAAGTAACAGAAGTGTTTTGGGTCACTTGGAAATTTTATTTTTTATGCTTTTCTACATTTTGAATTTTAAAAGCACTAGATTTTCTACAAAATGAATCCTATTTAAATGAAAGGAAAAATGTTTGAAACGTATCTTAAAATTGATCACAAAATAACCTGTCTTCATAACATTACCCTCATTTGGGCATTGCAATCTTAAATACCAACCTAAAAATGCTCATGGAAGCATAAGCAGCCACTTCAACATAAGCCTCATCAATGAATACAGTCTTAAAACAGGAGTATGGGTATCGACATGTAAGAATTTCTTCATAAAATTCAAAAACTTCATGAAGATACGATGTAGTATGTTTAAGCAATGGAAGAAGTTGAGGTAAACAAAAATGAGTAACCTGAAAATAAAAAGCAGGAAAGTTCATTAAAAGACAATGTTACCTTTAGTATTTTAAATTCCCTAAATGTCCCAATTATAAGGAAAACTTCATTCATATAAATCCTTTTAACAAACTCATGGCAATGAGGGAAAATGCTAGTGTGAAATCAGTGATTACTTTTACTGATTATGTTTATAAAATATTCACTGTACTCAGAAATTAAATTCATGATGAATTATAAGTCTGTGACATGCTTAGATACACTGAAAATACAACTTTGGTTCAAAATTAAAATGCCCTCTGCATAATAAGCATACAAAAGAAGAATGATTTAAATTTCCAAGGCTTATCACAAATCCACTTTCAATTCATAAATATCTCACCTAGTGAATAGGTCCACCTTGGACACAGCCACTCAAGTATAACATATCATCTCACCCCATATCATGATTCTGTGCCAAATAAATGGCATCAACAACAGATCACTCTGTTTAGAATGACCTACTAAGGTTTCATGCTAGAGATTAAATCTGAGCTAATCTTTTTGAACTGGACAAAAGTTTGATAGGAATGAAGAGGTAAAGAGGATATTCTCAAACAAAGTCAAAGATAGAAAAAAATATAGTATGGTTAGGAAAATCTAAGTACCTATATCAAATATAATAAACAAACAGGAAAGTAATGGAGAAAAAAGCTAGAAAAGAAAATTAGGGCCAAATTCTACAAGATCCTGAAAGCCATACTAAAGAATTCTGATTGTTGCAGGATTGTGGAGGCAAGGAAAGTTTTTAATGTATGATTAAAAATTATTCTTCTAACAGTGTTAGAACAGATTAGACACTAACATACATGAGTGATAAGGATCTATGTACGATTAATGGTCAAAGGCCCAAGGTGCATTATAATCAGCCCTCTTCTTGGTACACAAACAAAACCCAAAATACTATTCATCAAAAAAAAGATTCTCTTTTAGAAAGACCCACGTGGCAGCAAATCTGATAATGCAGTAAAAACTATTTGAGACAGAGAAGGACTAAATGGGCTCCAAGTATTCAAGAAAAATACTTCTTAATGATCATTTACCTTTCTCCTATCCAATGGCCTGGGAGTGGGAAAAAATTCTTCCAAAACACAAAGTAGGTACTAACCAAATATTGATTTTACAGCTAACCATTTACCAAAGATAATAAAATTCTCTGCCAATCTTATCAGCGAATATACTTTTAAGAGTCATTGTCAAGCCAGTAAAAGCAAAACCATTCATAAAATATCCTGAATATTTTCCACAAGTGACTTTATAAATCTTGTGAATTTCAGGAAAGCAAATATGAGAACATACTGAGGAGCTTACTGACAGTCTAAACCTAACTGCCCTCCATCTTGCTAGCATAACAGAAAGAAATATTATTGAGACATATAGTCATTGTGTATCTTAGCTTTATACTAAGAAATAAAAATCTAAAATTGAAAATGTTAGGGACCAAGAGTAAATAAAAAGAGATTCATTCAAATGTTACTTTAAACAGGCACAGAAGTAGAGAGGGTCAATAACCAATACATTACTTCGTGAACACCAGAAGTCTCATCCTTAGGGAGGCCTAAAAGGGCTAACTGGTCTGCCAATTAACATACCATTTATAGCAAGATATGGGATGGAAAAAAACTGCAAGAAGCCTTCATGAATGTGCTGAACAGAATTCTAAACTCAGCTTCAGCCTTACCTTTCTTCCTCTGTAGCTGCTTAAGTGAGAACAAATCTTGTTCTTTAATTTTGAAATTGCAATATTTCAGATTCCAGAGATAGGACCATAACATTCATAAACATACACCAAACAAAAAGGTGACACTAATACAAACTAGTTACATAAATCAACTCCTATTCTCATCAAGGTACACTGAAACTCATTTGGAACTCTAAGTTCTCTGTTGAAAGAAAATCTAAAACTTCAATATACCAACATTTTAAAAGGAATTCATTCAAGAATTCACATCAGTTAATATATCAGATAAAGAATCCTTTTTCTCTCTAGTAATATTCTAGATAATTAGAAAGAAGAGTTGGGAAAAAACTCAGTATTTCATTATATCCTTCCCTTTATCAGGGTGAAAGGCTGGGAGGAGAAAGGAACAAGAAGCTATGACTTACCTCATGCATATATGGATCTACAAGTATTTCAAAAGGTCCAATGGCCAAAGAGATATTTGATGCAGCTGTTGGAATGGCAAGCATGTAATGGAAGGTCTTCTTCCTCATATCATGGGTATACACTGTCTCCACCAAATCTCCATTGGAAACAGCCACCATTGCGGCATCTACTGTAAATTCTAATTTCCATGTACATAATTCAGAGTATGAATCAACACATGGGAACCAAAATCTAGAAAAAATATCAATAGCATAAAAAAATAGCGAAAGTATAACCTACATCATTTCCCCCCACTTATAAGTTATTCTAACATTTATAGAATAGGTACAAAATGGCCTTCAGCTATTTGCCTACTGAAGCTTTTTACTGTGTAACTTGAAAGAATCTGATTAAAGACAGAAACTTTTTGCCAAATATTATTTGGCAATATCATAAAATATATCATATGATACTGCCAGTTCAAACGCTTAAAAAAGAGATAAAGAGTTCTTAGCTTTGAATCTTTAAATTAAAAATTATTTTCACTTGCATATTCACAATAGTTTTTATGTAGTATTCATTTCTGGAAACTAAAAAAGCTTATAATAAAGTCTAAAAAAACACAATATTCAGAATCTGATCCATAAGTTAGAAAACTGTTTTTGCAGAACACGATGCACTGTATTAATTCAAATGGTGTTAGTAAAGCCAGGCATTAAATTTCTATACCACTTTCTATCAAGGTCAGGTTTTACTGTCAGGGTCTGTACCTAATATTGCAACACAAAGAAGTATAAGATATCATCCTTGGCTTGAAGGAGTTAATAATCTAAGGATTACTAAAAATCTGAAGAGACTATGCATACCATAATATTTCAATAACATACAGTGAGCTATTGAGCTCTGGGAATGAACTATAAGTACACGTAACAATGAAGGTAAATCTCACTACCATTGTGTTGAAAAAAACCCAGATATAAAGAGCATAACGCATAACTTCCATCTATATAAAGTTTCAAAACAGATAATTAAGCTGTGGTATTTTAGAAATAAAAACAATTGTTAACCTTGGGCAGGAGGACATTAGGTGAGCAAGTAGTGAATGGAAATAGGTAGGAGGGACGATTCTACAACGCTGGTAATGTTCTTTTTCTTGATGTGAGATTACATAGGTTTGTTCACTTGTGAAAGTCACCGAACTTTTTTTTACTTACAATTTGTGTAATTTTCTGTATGCTATTTTACGTCAGTATAAAGTTAAAAAATAAAAAATTGAAGTGATTTTAGAAGCCTCATTTTGAGAGGGAAAGAGAAAATGTAAGACAGGACTAAAAATGAATGACTAGTGGAACAAGATTCAGAAGAGATAAATTTGAGGATCACGCTCACACTTTTCATTTTACACGAAACACATGTACTGCACATACACAGAAAAAAATGCAACTGGAAAATGAAATTAACTGAAATATATAAGAATAATCTACCTTGTGGAATTTTGATACCCACAAGAGAAAACATGAGCACCTCTCTCTGCCATACTTCCCTCAACACTGGGTACCACAAAATGAAGACCTCCTTTTGGCTGATCCAAAGAAAAATTGATGTGTATCTTTAGGACCTTTAATTCTGCAACAAATAAATATATATATACATTGATATATAAATACATAATTAAGTAACAGTGGTCTATATAATAAGGGCAAAGACTTACACTAAACATAAAGTGGGAATCAAAGCTCAATTTTAAATGAAAAAACTACACTACTTACCCTCGTTTAGGCTCTCACCTTCTCTCCACCTATACTAACTCAACAGCCTGCCTCCATTGATGTCCTTCCTTCCACTCAATTCCACTCACTGCTAGCTGTGTTCTCCCAAAATATGGCTCAGGTCATGCCATACCCTCCTCCCAACATTTCTGACAATGTTATACTGCTTCAAAAAAACAGTTCAAAACTAGATTCAATGCAAAACTTGAAAAATAAGGACTTAAAAAGCCTCCCAGATTGTTAGTTGACTTAGGGGAATAGGAGTAAAGGATGAGTGGGAAAAGCTACCTGAGGATTTACATAATGCATTATTTATTATGTTACCTTTGATTTCTACATAACAAATACATGTTGCTTTCGTAAGATTAAAAGGCGTTTCTTATAATTTCCCTGAAAACCCTACAACCATATGGACTATTTCCAATCCCTGAACATGAAATTATAGCCTTCTATGACTGTCCCCTAAATTGGGCAACTCCCCTTAAGAAAAATGCCCCTCCCAAACACACCAACTATTAAAAAAAAAAAAAAAAAAAAAAAAAGCAAGAGCAAAACAAAAAGTTTCTTTACTTATCTTGGTTATAGGCTAAATAAAGGTAGGTGAGTTATATATAGTAATTATAATGGCTGTGATTTTATACAAGAGAAAATGAAGGTTTAGAAATAATAAGACAGAGTGTGCTCAAAAGTGCAGAACAGAGAACCCTATGTTCTATCACTGATTTGACTACTAATTAGTGACCTTCAATAGGTCACTTACTGTCTGGACTTCAGATTACTCTTCTGTAAAAGGAAGGAACTGAACCAGGTGGTTTTTTAGGATTCTTCCTGCTATGACATGCTGTAACTCTAAACCACTTTGACACTGCACGGGTTCTCAACTCTTGGCAAATTGTCCCAACCATCCAATTTTTTAAAATAATTTTCACTTTAAAAACAACAGTGAATGGGTTGTTTTGTCACAGTCCTTAATTGCTACTTTCCTATTAACCAGTGATCCTTAAGAAAAAAAAAAAAAGCTTCCAACTTCTGTATGTTTCAACTTATTAACCTACAATTATGACATCATTAATTTTCATAGATGTTTCAGGTCACTGAGCCTAACATGATTCTACTGTCCAGTCAATATATTTTTGGTATTTTACCATCAACGTGTTTCCATAACTCTGATGGAACCTTAATGCAAAGTTCTCCATTTCCTGCATCGGGATCCACAGCACTAACCGCGGCTGCATAAGCATTGGAAAAATAATTCAGATTTCTCCTGGAAGAGACAAAAAAAGAGCCTGTTTTACTAATAAGCCAAACATCTCACCAACTATTTTCTTAAATATTTGATACATCTGTTAAGTATTGTATCATTTTATGTAACCTATGAGAATATTTTTTAGCCAAGTAACTATTACTCAACCCATCATGACAAAACCTATTAAATAATAAATATGTCATATTTAATCTACTTGCCAATGCTATGGTATTATTATGATTATCACATTCTTCATTAATTTTGGAATGCCAAAGCCACTATACCTTCCTGAGAGAAGTGAAAAGAATATATGTAGAATTATTATTAATAATTAATGAATAAATAAATATTCTTGATCATGCTGGCAAACATTTCAATGGATTCACAAGCTCTACGATCTGACAGAAATTAAGAAATTAAGATGCTTAAAATAGGTTAGGATGAGTATCAAAGTCCTCAAAATATAACACTTCTTACCATCACTCACCAATGCCTGACAATATAAGCTTAAGGAAGGAGGGAAATTTTGGCTGCTTCACTGTTTTATCTCCTATATGCAAGGGGGCTACTATCAGTATTTGTTCAATAGTTACTTGGCTTTATTTCCCATTAGATGAAAACAACATTGAGAAGTCTTATGGAAATATTAAAACACTGTTCCCATCCAATTTTCTAACTTTATTTCAGTAAAAACAATATATGTATGTGTGTAATTCACTAAATACACACACACACACATAAATACACACCCATAGAGATCTCCTCCCATTTACAACGGGTTTATGTCCTAATAAACCCATCATAAATTGAAAATATTCTAAGTTGAAATACATTTAATACACCTAACCTACCAAAATATCAAAGCTTAGCCTAGCTTACCACAAACGTGTTCAGTACACTTTCATTAACCTACCACTGGGCCAAATCATCTAACACAAAGCCTATCTTTTAATGAAGTGTTGAACATCTCAGGTAATTTATTGGATAATATATTGAAAGTGAAAAACAGAGCGGCTGTATGGATAAAGAATGGTTCTAAGTATATAGATTGCTTAGTCTTGTGATCACATGGCTGGCTGGGAGCTATGGCTCATCACACACCAAAACACAGGTACCACATACTGCTAACCTAGGAAAGTAATCAAAATTCAAAGTATGGTTTCTACTAACTGCATATCACCACCTCTGCACTATCATAACGTTGAAAAATCTTTAAGTCAAACTGTCCTAAGCTGGGGACCATCTATACACCTATTACATTTTCTCACTGAAATCAGTTAAAGGAATATGGACAAAATGGATAAAAGAAAAAAGACAAGGAACGATGTAACAAGAAAATGAGATGAAAGACAACCCCATGAGCCATATTCTTGTTGTGCACATTTAGGCTTATCATTTGGCCACTAGATGAATCCAGAAAGTTAGTTACATTTCACTAGCTTAATAAAATTTTAACTAGTTAAAAGGCAAGATTTATAGACTATACAGAGTGATTACAGGAAAAATTAAATGGGAAAAGCCATTAAAAAAAATTAAAGTTATAAACTCTGAAGCTGACAGAGGCCATTCCTCTCCCATTTTCATCCTCTATTATCTAGGAAGGATGTACTAACTAAAGCTTTTAACAACTACACAACATAACGTTTTGGAAGCACTTAATCAGACTTCTCAATAATTTTAACTATTCTGGGACACCTGGGTGGCTCAGTTGGTTAATGGTCTGCCTTTTGCTCAGGTCATGATCCCAGGATCCTGGGATTGAGTCCTACATCAGGATCCTTGCTCAGTGGGGAGCCTGCTTCTTCTTCTCCCTGCGGCTCCCCCCACTTGTGCCCTTGCTCAATCTTCAAAAAAATAGTAATATTTTTAACTATTTCTTCCTGGCAGATAAATGTGTAATGTGTGATATGTGTAAAATAAATGTAAAATATAAAATAAATGTAAAATGTGTAGAAACTATAGGATCACAATAAAATGAATAAATCTGTGTTTTCACATACCATCTATTTTTTTTTAAAATATCATACAGCAAAAAGAACTCTTTTTCCTTTGGTATATAATTCTGTAAATTCTTACACATGTGTAACCACTACCACAATCAGGATATAGAATAGGTCCAGCATTCCAAAGAGTACCTTGCACTATGCCTTGTGTCAGATAAATGGGAGTCATACAGAAAGCAACCTTGTGAGGCTGGCTTGTCTCAATCGGTATGTCTTTGAAATTCACCTCGAGCATTACATGTATCAATAAGTTTGTTTCTTCCTATACCGAAGAGTATTTCACAGTATAGACTGGACCACTGATTATTGTTCATTCATTCAGCCACTGAAGAACATGTGGGTTGTTTCTAGCTTTTGGCTATCACAAATAGAAGTGCTACGAACAACTGTATATTGTTTTTCATGTGATTTTAATTTTCATTTTTGTAGTACAAATACACAAAAGCGGGACTGCTGAGTCAGATGGTAAAATATGTTTAGCTTTGTAAGAATATGCCAAACTGTTTTCCAGAATGGCTATACCATTCCATATTCCCACCATCAATATATAAAAGTGCCAGTTGCTTCACATTCTTGCCAGCACTTAGTTAACATACCATCTAATTTTAAAGGCTACTTTGTATATCAGAGATTGCAATTTCTTTTCAATAGAATTTCAGAAACATGAAATATGAAAGACAGTGGAAGAAACCTGTAATTTCCCCCGTTATTTGTGAAATTAAAAAATAAAAAACAATCATTACATAAAAAGCCAAATTTAAACGTATTAGACCACTCAGTTTTTTTATGGGAAATTATTCTCACTTAATCTCCTCATTTCCTGAGAAAAGGTAAAGTGGTCCAAATAAAATGGTGAGTCATTTTACGCGGAATCTATTGGAAAGTTAGTTATGAGGAACAATCTTCTCATGGTTTGGATTTCAGTGTTTCCTTTCATAATATGAATCAAATATGTTTCTTTTCATAATAACCTCACTAAAGCCAAAAATCACAAGGCAGGATTATAATAAGTGTTTTCAATTTTCAGAATAATAGTGACTGCAAAATATTAATATGTCCTTGCCCTGTAACCACGACCATCCCCAAACTCCAGCTCCCAACCCTCATCCCCTCAAGGAGACAAAGCTTAAAGATATAAGTAATGTTGTAGGAGATACTGAAAAACTAGTAAACTAGGTTAATCAAAAGAATTTTCTCCAAGAACCTATTATAAACATTCATATTAAAATAATCTGGTAATTCTTTGTCAATAACATATACTTCTTTAAACTATAAGTGCAGATTTTACAAAACTTAAGATTCAGTTATTTGTAAACTTCTTCTCTATTTAAATTAAAAAAACTCATGGAAGTGCAATACGTATCAGAAAAGCACACATACTCTAAATATACAGCTAAATAAATTTTCACAGAACAAAAACAGCCAGAATACAGAGCAAGAACAGAACTTTACCAGCCTCTCAGAAGCCCTCCTGTAATCACTAACCAAGCCCCACTTCCTACCACCAAGGGTTACCCATTATTCTGACATCTAAGGCGATAGATTAACAACTTAATAGACTTTCTCCTGTGTTGGACTTCTTTTACCCAATGTCAAGTCTGCGAGATCCAGACATACTACAGCATATAGCTGATGGTCATTCATTCTTGTTACTGTTTAGAATTCCAGTGGTGTGAGAACATACCACAATCTACCTTCCACCACTGGTCAGTCTTCAGGTAATTTCCAGTTTGACTATTATAAATGCTGCTGTGAACATTTTTGTACACATTTTTTGGTGAACATATGCACATGTTTCTATTGGGTATATACCTAAGAGTAAGACCTACTGATAAGGTATGCATCTATTCAAACTCAATTTACATTTCTATTAGCAGTGTTTGAAAGTTCTAGTTACTCTACATCCAAGTTTTGGTTTCCCTTCTGTCTTTGGTTTTGACAGTTTCCACAGAGAAAATAAGTAAATAAGCCAGCCAGCAGGAAAACCCATTTTCTGAAACAGAGACCATATTGGTATTTGGATATTCCAAATCAATAAAGATGTTTTTAGAAATAATCAAAACAACATTTAATATGATACTGTGAAATAAGGTTGCTTGGAGAAAACTGTACCTGACAGGTTTTTATATAAAATCAATCAATCAATCAATCAATCTAGGGGATTTCCCTCAAATTCAAACTTGAATGAACTACTCCAAATAGCCATTTGTCTAAAATTAACAACACAGAAAACAACAAATGTTGGTGAGGATGTGGAGAAAGGGGAACCCTCCTACACTGTTGGTGGGAATGCAAACTGGTGCAGCCACTCTGGAAAACAATACAGAGGTGCCTCAAGAAGTTAAAAATATAGCTACCCTATGACCCAGTAATTGCACTACGAGATTCAAAGGGTACACGCACCCCAATACTTCTAGCAGCATTATCAACAACAGCCAAATTACGGGAAGAGCCCAAGTGTCTAATGACTGATGATGAATGGATAAAGATGTGATATATATATATACAAAGAAAAAGAATAAAATCTTGTCATTTGCAACAACATGGATAGAACTAGAATGTACTATGCTAAGCAAAGTAAGTCAGTCAGAGAAAGAAAAATACCATATGATTTCACTCATATGTAGAACTTAGGAAACAAAACAAATGAATATATGGTAAGAGGAAAACAAAGAGAGAGAAAGAGGGAAGCAAACCGTAAGGGACACTTAACAACAGAAAACAAACTAAGGGTTGATGGAGGAAGGTGTGTGGGGGATGGGCTGGATGGGTGATGGGTAGTAAGGAAGGCACTTATGATAAGCACTGGGTGTTCCATGCAAGTGATAAATCACTAAATTCTACTCTTGAAACCAATATTACACTATATGTTAACTAACTAGAAATTAAATTAAAAATTTGGAAAGGGGTGCCTGGGTGGCTCAGGGTTAATAAGCCTCTGCCTTCGGCTCAGGTCATGATCTCAGAGTCCTCTGATGGGAGTGCCATATGGGCTCTCTGCTCAGCATGGAGCCTGCTTCCCCCTCTCTCTCTGCCTGCCTACTTGCGATCTCTCTGTGATATAAAAAAAATAAAACCTTTAAAAAAAATTTTTGGAAAAAAAAAATCAAAACAAAACAAAACCAAAGTAGCCATTTGTGAAAGGCTAATGTATTTCAAACTATAGAATAATGAATACACATAAGGTCAAAATGACTCTATAGCTAAGCATCTATCATTTAATCCAAATAGGAAGGATTATATCTAGTTTCAGGGCTACCACATTTAAGAAAAAACAATGACAAATCAGAGTATATTCAAAGGGTGAGAATGGTAATAAATTTGGAAAGAGTTTTAGATGAGGAAGGGTTGAAAGTATTTAGATCATGTAGACTAGAAAGGGGAAAACAATATTTAATTAGGATAAAACAATATTTAAATGGATAATTTTGTGAATATCATAGCAAAACAAACTGTAGTTTGATATAATAATGAATTTTCTAGCATTCAGAAATAATGAAAGGGGTGCTTTAAAATATAGTGAGCTCTCCAGAGCTAGAAGCGTTCAAGCAGAAGGTGAAACAGTATAGGAAAAATTCCTGTTGATGTTTTGACTAAGTCAACTTCAATGTTACTCCAACCACTATAACTTAATCCCAATTGATACTAGTAAAATAACTGGCAGTGAGGCATCCTGAGTTAAAATATAAAACTATCTTCATATAAAACTTACTTAACCATAATCAGTGAGGGAATCACCTACTTCTACTATGTATTAGTAAAATAATGTTTAAAACATTTATAGTAGAAGTCTGTATTAAAATAAAGGATCCACAAAATCTTTTTTTAAAAAGTAGCAAAAAATAAAATTAAACATCAATTTTAAAAAATCAACTCCAATTACTCTAAAAATAATCATTCTAATCACTCAACAGCTACTTCATTTATATCTCAAGATTGTTCATTTCTACTATCATTCCTGAGTGAAAATGAACATAGGAGACAGGAATTAAACTGATGCTTGGAACTCTGGAAGACTGAAGCTTTTCAAGCAAAATAAAAAAGATCTTCTCAAAGTCGCAAAGCCTACCTAGGGAAGGAAAAGAAACAAAGTAAAAGGATGTCAGCCGCTGTAGGCTATCCACAGAAACAGCTTCTCTGGCAAAATCTACATCTATTTCATTCTAAGAAAAAAAAAAATACAGCAAGAAAAAAAAAAAAGGAAAAAAAAAGAGAACCAAAAAGCCATAACTCCTACAGGACAAACTATAATTTATCAACAATATATAAGATTCAAATATAAAATATACTTAGAGAAACTGCTGCAATTATTTTACTGGCAGACAATAAGCCCCCCCAAAAAAGAGTGAGAGAGAGACTGAGCGAGCATGCGTCCCATCCATGTAACGTAACAAACAGGGTTTTTAATTGCATCTGGTCATTTAACAACTCAGCTAACAGTTAGGTAAAACAGGCAAAAGTATAGACACAGAAACGTCTTTTAGTCTGTTATCTAAATGTTTCCCTTCCTTACATTCTCCCTGCAGTAGAAAGATACTGAATCCCAACCAAGGTAAGCACACACTTTCCATTAAAAATAGAAGGGCCTGGCGCCTTAACTTTAAAACAAATAAGAAGAAATGTGACGAAGCAGTATATTACTTTGACTGTTAGGGCATTCTTGTTTTAAATACATTTAAACTCATTCTGGTAGTAAAGATCAAATGTTATCACAGAATCTAATTTTCAATTTCAAAACTGCTATACTTAATTTCTGTTTCAGCTTCAGTGTAAATTTTATTGGTTTAAGAAAGAAAGTTACTTTAGAAACAAAGGCGACGGAAGTATCCAGGGAGCACAGTAAGGACCTCAACTCTCGGCCTTTCCCAAAGTTCTCTAAAAGTAATATAATCCAGAAGAGAGATTTTCCACATCTAACTTCTAAGGAAAGCAGAATTTCCTCTAATACCTGGCATACTTCTATCTTGTGGCTTATCAATCACAACAGTATTTCCCTCTTCGGTATGGCAGCCAGAAGTACCAAACCCAAGTCTAGTTCTTCCACAGTCACTGTGCAGTAGCTTCTGTTAGCGTGTGCCCACACCCGATTTGCTTTTCACTGCTCATACTACATTCATTAGCTTCTTTTTAAAACCGTTGTCTAAGAAAATTCTACAACCAATTTCAAACCCTTTTTAAAATAAGTCAGAGAATAAAAACCAGGAAAAAATAACTAATGTCCTCTCTCTTAAAAAGTAAACGAGATTCTAGCGCTTGGCAGAAAAGCAGGGGTAGGGAGCAAGTATTTGCTAAGTGACCATGCCTAACTGAGCTCTGGTTCTAGCTGAAAAGATTAAAATGTATTTTTGAAAAGATTTCCCTTTATAACCTCCTTTTCTTTCCTTAAAATGCTCTAAGTGATAAAGCATCTTCCCTACCACTAGAGAGAAATTTTAGGGGATATGATCACCTCAAAACAAACATGGCAAAAGTAAAGCTTGCTTCCTCAACAGCTGTGGAGTCCACTGTTCCTGTCATTGGACTGGCACTGATTATATTCTCTGAGACCTGAGCAACAGGTAAAGCAGATGTGCAAGCACTGTTCTGTGACTGGCAGATGGAGAGGCTTCTAACCCTGTCATGAAATACAGAGTTCTAGTACCAACTGGGTAGCTATTCTGGGCCTTAGGAAGGCAATGGCTTCCCTACCTGCTTTTTTGCAGGTGTCTTTTCCTTTCATTAGTGGTGTATATTTACTATCCCAAAGGCAAGTCATTTCTACCCACCCCCGCCCCGGGGGAAAGAGGATGCAAATGATTTTTTAGTAAGTGTTTTTATATGAGTTCTACAAGTGTGGCTGAAAAGGCAATGTAATTTCAACAACGACTCATCTCTGTGAAATGGGAAGTTACAGAAGCAATTCAGAGATTCCCTGAATTTTTCCAACAAGCATTTCCTTTTCTCTTCCCTGAGTTGTAAAGATTCTGAACCAATGATAATTGGAACTAAAAATACATCTAAAGACAAGCCTCTTTTCTCAACCCTTCTAATCACCTGGCACACTAGTTGAAACACAAATTGTAGGACTATATCCCCAGTTTCTGATTCAGTAGATCTAAAGCCAATGCATGGGAATCTGCATTTCTTTTTTTTTTTTTTTTTTCAAGATTTTATTTAAGTTCTAGTCAGTTAACATATAGCGTAGTATTAGTTTTAGGACTAAAATTTAGTGATTCATCACTTGCATATAACACCCAGTGCTCATTACAGTAAGTGCCCTCCTGAACACCTATCACCCATTTACTCCATCCTCTTACTACCTCCCCTCCAGGAACTCTGTCTGTTCCCTGTTGTTAAGAGTCTTTGATGGTTTGCCTTCCTTTCTGTTATTATCATATTTTTTTTCTAACAAGTTTCCAGGTGATGCTGATGCTGCTTGTCTGGAAATCATATTTAGAGAATTGCTGCTTTAAGGCAATGTTGTACATCTAGAGGAATTAAAATACCATCCTGACTTAAAAAAAGTTATAATGAAGTTTTGGCACCTGACCCCAAAACAGAGACTCATGATACAATCCAATGCTATCTAAACTTTGAAAAAACATGTGCCCTCAAATGTAGTTGACAGTACTTAACACAAATGTTACGGGGCACAATGAAGTAAAATACTAAGTGCCTTAAAAATAATAAATAATCCTATTTGCCTAAGGAAATAATTCAAAGGAAAATAAACTGATCTGGGACAAAATATTCACTCAACATTACTTAGGATCTCAAAAGCTGGAAATTATACAAAAGCTGAAAGATGGGAAACAACATGCAAACTATAGAATACTGAGTAAATGGAATATTAATCTGACCATAAAAATGACAGAAAGTGAAGTGTATCATATTTGGAAAAGTGGAGACAAAGCACTTAATTGTAAAAAGTAGGACACAAAACTCATCAAACGTGTTTACTGATAAAAAACAGAAGTAACCTCAGTAGATGGCAGTATTTATGTAAAGTGAAGTAAAGAGGCATTTAAAACAATATTTTTATATAATAGTCTGAAACTATCTAAAGTAAAGTGGTCTCTGGTCCAGGGATTATAGTAAACACCTAATCTACTAAGATCACACTTAATATTTATGAAGTAATTTTTAAAAAACATTAAAAGTAGGAAAATGGTTAAAATTTATTTAGAATTCTCAGATAATACTTCTTGAAAACCAGTCTGAAGAAAGGAAACTTAGTAACTTACTATGTTGGGCAGAGCTAGTAAAATTTCTTGAACCAAATGGGCAGAGCGGTAAAAGAAAAATTATAATTAGGAAAAATATTGCGATTTGAAGTCTAATAATCATCTAAGAAAAATCTATCAAAAAAAATTAATCCAATAATATCGGGAAAACAAAGCTGTTAGAAATATCAACTTTTAAATGTATACAACTTACTGTTTTGATTCACTGTGACAGACTTCCAGGGTTGGGTCATTATAAATAAAAGCAGCTTCTAAATCATTTATCCTTACTCGATATATTCTACACTGTTTGCTGTTCAATTTGATTCTGTTCAAGTTCGCAACTGTGGGAAATATAGTCAGTTCCACGAATCCCTGCAAAGATAAAGAATAATAACTTCATTAGAATTAAGAAGGGTAGGTTTTAGAACATATTTTTTAATCTCTACTACTTACACTTACTTATATTTTTATTTCTACTATGTATACTACACTTCAGAGACAGAATCTCAAATAGCTACATACAAACAAAAGCTCTCCAAGTATCTTCATTTCAAACGTTACTGTCCTAATGAATGAACAGTTGTGAATTATAAATACTTTTATCTTCTTCATGATTCACTATCAGTGAAAATTAGACATTCTGCTAATAGAAAAGTAAAACGACTCACTATCAAATTCGAGAATTTCCATACAGTCTGGAACTCAAACAGGGAAGAAAGAAAAGAAAAAAAAAAAGAGCAGAAAGAGAATCAAAACCAGGTTGGTGAGTGAAAGAACATGGTCCTCCAAAATGGGAACCAAATGGGAAAGATGGGCCATTGGAACATGGCATCTAGTCCACTGATTTTACTCTCTCGAGTAAAAAAACTGATGTACTCAAATGCCAATTATGGGAGGGCATGAAACAGTAGCCTTTAAGGGGCTGCAGGGTGAATAGGGAAACTGGACAAGCTACAATGGGAAAAGCTAAGATGAAATGAGGCAGCAACATAGAGAACTAAAGCATAACAAGTATAATGGCCGCTATTTAGTGAGCGCTACTATATGCCAGACATTACACGAATATGTTCTCTCCAATCCCACTAACAACCTAACAACCGAAAAAAGTATACTTTTCACAGATAAGTTAACAAAGTTAAGAAAGTCATATAACTAGTAAGAGGAGTATTCACATTCAAACCAGATCTAAATGATTCCAACGGATTCCTACAATGCTAGGTTTCTCGTACAAGGTTTTAAATAATATACAAGAAATTTTTTTTTATAACATTCAGCATAACTGCTCAAATATCTAGAGATTCTGCAGCCCCCATCCCTCTAATTCGCAAATATGAAGAGAGCCATACATTCTAAAATTATACTATCTATGCAGGTCTATGTGGTAGCAAATGAGAACAGAAAGAAGCCAAAATACTGCTGATGAAAGCTGTGTTTAAAGGTGTAAACTACTGGGGTGCCTGGGAGGCTCGATCATTAAGCGTCTGCCTTGGGCTCAGGTCCTGATCCCAGGGTCCTGGGATCGAGCCCCGCACTGGGCTCCCTGCTCAATGGGAAGCCTGCTTCTCCCTCTTCCACTCCCCCTGCTTGTGGTCCCTCTCCTGCTGTTTCTTTCTCTCTCTGTCGAATAAATAAGTAAAATCTTAAAAAATAATAATAATAAAATAAAGGTGTAAACTACTAGCTTAATTAGCCTATCAGCAATCCGATGACCAATCTATATGAACAAACTTGGATCAGCTCAAAGACAGCGAGTAGAATGCAGACAAGAGCGAAAGTGAGCTATAATAGAAAAGATTATGGAAAGTGCTTTAAGTCAGTAGTTAGCTCCATGGCTGGAACTAAGAACAGGATTTGGCTTTCTAGACTAAGGTTAACAGTGACAGAACAGTGAATGGAGTGTATTTCATGAAGATAGGGCAAGCCCAGTCTCCTTGTAACATCAGGTCTCTGACACCACCTAGAGCCCTAACCTATATTTGCTTACAACATTCAGATCCATTAATTTCTACATGCCTCCATTCCGTCATCTCTGACCACTGGCATCACTGCAAGGCCCCCAGTCACCTAAGCTCTCACTTAGTCTCATCTCCTTCTTGCTCCTTGTTCCCTCCCAAACACTTCACAGCTGATCATACTCCTATCCTGTTCTAAATCTCTCTTTTGCTATTCAACTTTTTCAAATACTTGTTCTATACCTTCTGGCTTTAGATAAAATGTCTCTTGAAATCCCTCTGACAAGAAGTTACTTATTCTTTCATTCACTATAAATTATGGGAGGGGAAAACAGGAGACCTCCTAGTTTCAAATGCTACTCTAGACCGCTCATAGGATTTTATATAGCATATAATATAAGAGCAAGGGCAGGATAATGTCATCTTTAAATGTTATGTTTTCTGGAGGTAAACTGCCTGCATTCAAATCCAAGCTCTACCACTTAATGAGTGTATGATCTTGGGTTAGTCTAGCTCTGTCTTTTCCTCATCTGTAAAACAGGTGGTCTGACAACTCAGCAATTTAATACATGGAAAGCCCTTAAAATCATAGTGGACATCTAATAGATGCTTAAGACATGTCTTTATCATTCTTTTCTACTTCTTTTCCCGTATGTTCGTGCCATATAGGTCCACTACCCTCTATTTCTCTTTATTCGAATCTCCCAAATTCTTCAACATTTATCAAAGGCTCATACTCCCCCTTTTTAACCTCTGCCATCACTCTAAGTGATATGAATGTAGATATATTTGATCCGTGCAGTAACACAGCTTCAAAGTTCCTTGACCTTAATTCCTACAATCTTCACTTCAGCATCAAGACCACACTCCAAAAGATGTATCATTACTGCTGGTAATTACTCCCACGCTGACACTTCAAACTTGAGTGCCCGCAATGCTTATCCTTCTGCCCCTCCTGTTATTTCCTCCCCAGTGGTACTGTCAACCACATGAAGTCCTCCAATTCCTTGACCTCCTCCAGTTTCTTACACAATCCTTCTCCGTTTATTCAAGATCCTTCATTTCAACCACTCTTCTGCCATCTACCAATTCTCTTGCCCTCCTGCTGCATGTAGCCATCTTTACTGTTCAACAGTGATCCTTCCACTGGTCACTGGAGGCCATACCCTATAGCAGCCTTTAAAATTCCACTCTATTAATCACCCTCTCCTATAATTACAATGCCTCCTCCCTACAGAATTTCTTCCTGTGCCTACAAACATGTACAAGTCTCACATATCATTCCTTAAAATCTTGAGATCTATCACACTCAAATGAACTAATTTTTGCTCTCTTCTTGGAGGTATTGTATCTTGATTCTGAAACAATTCCTGGAGTCCCAAAACCTTACCAGTCTACTAGTCATACTGGAAGTCTTTGGAGGTCAAGTACTCATGAGGGTAACAGCCCAAGGCTATTTCCGAGTAGGACTTATCTCCCTAGTCTCAGAACACACAGTATATATTTTAGTAACTGACAAATCCCCATATTTGTTCTCTCACCAGCACAGTGAGGACTACTAGAGAAGGGCTAGACAGTAAGTCAAAGCAACTGAACATCCCTTGGGGAACTGCAGAGATTCATGCCATCAGATACTGGAAAGATGCCTACTACATCTTCACTTAACTCTACTATTCAGCCAATACAAAAGTTGAGTAAGTTTTGGAGAATGACAATGAATTATTACACACCTGCCAATTACAACCACAGTTTCAGACATAGTATTTTTACTGCAGCAAATCATCATAGCTCTTGGTAACTAGTATCGAAACTAATTATCAAGCAAATGCTTCCCCCACCCCGCCAATTCTTACCAGGAAAAAAAAAATCAGACACAGGTTTTCTGCAAAATAGCAGAACCCCTTCACTGTCATCTAATAACTAAAAGCTATTATCAATTCTCCTGCTCAATCAAAACGTAGTCCAAAAGTCCTTTGATTCCAAGATAGGCTATAAAGAATTACACTGGCATATTATAATGACAGAATTATGCTAACTAGACCTGGTGAGAAGAGAAAAGCAAGTTCTCCAAACGCTTTAAGAAAAAAAACCATATGGATGGCAGAGGATGCAGGTTAAAAAGCATCAAAGTTCAGGGGCCTATCACATTAATAAAGCTTCTAAGGTTCCAGTATTGAGGCATATGAAAGTACTCCTTTCAAAGAAAAGATAAGTTGCTTCATTTCATACTGCCCACCAAGGTGGGGAGGGGGAAGAGGAAAGGACACAAAACTTGGTAAGCTTCCTTGAATTCTGGAGGCAATATCTAGATCTGGGCGTACTGCTTACTAGGCAACCTATTAAGTTACCAGCTTTGACAGGGGTCTAGACTAAGAAAAGGTTCTGCAGCAGGTTCAGGCGTGGTTCAAGCCACCTTGACACTTGGGCCTTAGGAGTCAGCAGATCCAATGGCACTAGGAATGTCCATGACAGACAGAGGTGTTCTACAGACACTGGCTTTTCCCAATAGAATGACAGTGCAAATTCCCGAGCTTTGAGAGGAAGGCCACAAAGTCTTCTGTTGCTAATTACACTCAATTTGCAAAGCCACTACTGGTTTGCTACTAGACCCTTCAGTAGAAACTCAACACTTGACTTCCAAAGACTGTTACCTGAAATGACCATAATGATAGGAGAGTAAAATAAAGCTCTGAAAAATCAAACTGGGCAAGTGCAGCAGTTTTCCACTTTTAAACAGAGACAACAGATCTGAGCCAGGGCCAAGCAGATTCATAAAGAAGAGGCAACACGTGAGTAGGTGCTCAGAATCCAGTAAGACGTCCTCCCACTGCTCGTCTACCTCTCCCTCAATCTACACCCATCGTGTCACTGAGAACTCCCTATGCTCAGCTAACAGCACAAAGCACAAGCCCAAACTAGGAGTAAGCATGCAGGGTGCTACCACCAGCTGGAAGTGGAGGGAACTGCCATTAGAATGCCACTGAAGTGTGGCCCTAAAAGACAGTGGAAGAAGTTCTACAGCCAGCAGAACCTTGGGAAATAGATCTGGCCATACCCTCCTTGTGGAAGCAGAGACGTCCTGAAGTATACAACAACACGGATCCATGGGCAATTGCTAACGGGTTGGTTAGGACTTTGGTAAGAACAAAATTAAAAGACTGAAAACAGGAAGATGGCAGAAGTGTATGGATGGATTTCTCAGAACAGGTACCGTGTGAAAATAGCCATGCTGTTATCACATAAACGACCATCAGAGGGCACCCACAGCAGAAAGGACCTCCCCAAAACCAAGTGGCAAGAGGAAGTCGATACGGTGGACTCTTTCCCTAGTCACCCTACCCAATGCACAAGTGGTAGAACAGACGTGCTACATGAGCCCTATGGCATGGTCTTCCCTCCATCAGGGATGAGCTGGCTACCACCACTGCTGAGGGCCCACTGCCACTAGCACAGGCTCATACTAAGCATCCAGTATGGTACTGGAAAGACCAGTCAGTCACTTGGTAGGAGAACGACTATAAGACAGCACACACCAAGAACATATCTGTCCTTACAAGAGCAGACATATTCTAGATTTTCCCCCCAAACCACAACATACTTGTAGAAGACCATACATATCATTGTAATATCTCATACATGCCTCTAAGTATACAGGGAAGTGTGGTGATAGGCTCTTACACACAAAATTTACTCGTTTCATCATGTGCCCTATCATCCAGAAATGCTGGCATGATCAGCTACTGAGGCTCAGTACTCAGTACAGCTACTGAATGCTCAGCTACTGCATCAACTGAGAGACCTCCAACAGAATGCTATTGGAACTAGTGGACAATATACAAGGTCAGCTTTCCATGGCCAAACTAGATCTGCAAACCAAAGGTAAAAGCTGGAGTGACTGTTCTCACTATTATATTAAAAACAAAAACAAAACAAAACAAACACTGAAGGAATCTTTGCTGTCTTTGTTACCCTGGGTTTGGTATATTTGGCCAGGAGAAACGTGCATCCACCAGGCACATAGTCCTGGTTCCATTACACCGTAGGCTGAGACTGTCCCTTGACCACTTTGGGTTCCTCATGCCACTAAACCGTCAGGCAGAGAAGAGGCCACTATACTGACTGGAATGACTAATCCCAATTATCAAACAAAGATTAGGTTCTGCGATACAGTAAGGACAACAATTCTGTCTGCAGTCCAGGAGGATTCACAGAACGCCTCTTATGGCTCACCTGGCTGACAGTCCTCATCAACGGGCAAGTACAACAATTCAATAAAGACAGGACAGGCAAGGATGCCGATCCTACAGGAATGAAGGTCTAGTCAGACCAACAGAAACATCAGCAGAAGGAAAAGGGAAAATGGAACGGGCAGGAGAATGAGGAAGCTGTGTTTATCAACTTTGGCCTTGACACCGGCTAAATAAAGCAGGGACTGTAGCAATTAAGTTTCACGTTCTCTTAACTACTTTTCTTTCCACTGTTTTGGATGAAAGATACTGGTGGGAGATAATACTTTAGTGGGAGTACAGCTGAAAGGCCATATCCTCACATGAATTCATGAGATGAGAGATTGGCAAACTCCCTCAAGGGTCAGGCAGTAAATGGGCTTTGTGGGCCACAGAGCCTCTGCCATAGGTATTCAGCTCTGCCAGGGCAGCTCCAAAGCACTGTGGACAATATATAAATAAGTGGATGTGACTGCACTGCGACAAAACTTGTTACGAAAATAGGTAGTCAGCCATTGCCAACCTCTGCAATAATGGGTGAGACTTCATTAAGTTTCCTGTGTTGGGAATGCTAGCTTTTCATCTCAAAAAGACAAAAACAAACAAACAAAAAAAAACAAGAAAGAATGTTTTTGGGGGCAAATGGGTAGACTATTCTAAATATTCTCCTTTTGCCCCTCCGAATCCACTCTCCATTCTATACCCCAAGATGTACATTAACTGGCCACTAGCTCTTTAGCTTCTAGTTGGGGTGGTCCAATGGGAAGGAGGAGAAAACTGGAGAAGAAAAGTGAGCTCATTACATCTAAACTTCAGGTTCCCTGCTACCCAGCTGAAGGAGGCAGTAGCTTTTGCCACCAAAGGCCACACATCCTATAAGGTGACTCTTTTTCACAGCTACTATAGTCTATTATACCCTAGTACCCTCTTCCTTTGCTTTTTCAGGTTTAGAAGTGTTAACTGTTCCTTGTTGCTAACCCAGTGTGCCCCTCCATCTCTTGGTTTCTCTTAACCCTGTTTGTTCTAAATAGTCCTTTTACAACCTTCCCTCAATTAACCTGTATGAATATGCTGCTTATTTCCTTATAGGACTCCAATCCATTCACCACCTAACCAGTTTTTCTAGTGGGAAACCACTCATTCACAGCTCCTTCCTAAAATTTTTAGTATGAATCATCTGCAATTCCTTCCCATCTATTATTTTGTCAAAAAAACAAAGCTCACTAAGATTTTGTCTCTTTAATACAGTTCCCCCCAAATTAAGAACTTGGGCAGTCAGAGACTGTCCCAGACTGGATTATATATGCAGGGGCAGAGGAGGTGGAAAGAGGGAACAGACAGTAAGGAGCTGCAGGAGACTCTTAGGTCTTCCTGGATTTAAAAATGGCTCCATCACTTGTTAACTTTATGCCCTGAAGAAAGTTACTTAGTCTCCAGCCTTTCAGCCACTTTAATTTTTAAAATTAGGATTAAAAGAGTGTCTACTTCATGGGGTTATTGTGATTGAGGTCACTCACATAAAACCTTAGAAAGTCTCATACATCGAATGTACTCAATGAACATTCACTGTAATTCAGTCAATCTTGTCTACTCTATTTCTATACCACTTTCATTATAGTTATTTCATTCAGGGCTTCATCATTTCTCCCCAAGATTATTACAGTAACATCTTAAACTTCCTAATTCTCCTATCTTCCCTGCCCAACTAACACAACACAACACAACACACCTAAGTATCCCTCCATGAAGTACAAAGTAAATCTAGCTGACCCCTGAACAACACAGATTTGAACTGCACAGGCCCACGTATATGTGGATTTTTTTCCTAATACAGGGCGGTACTGTAAATGTATTTTCTCTTCCTTATGATTTTAATAACACATTATTTCCCTACCTTATTACAATAACACAGTATATAATAAACACACAAAATACACGTTAATCAACTGTTCACGTTACTGGTAATACTTCTGGTCAATAGTAGGCTATAAGAAGTAAGATTTTGGGAAGTCGAAGTTATACGCATATTTTTGACCGTGCAGAAAGTCGGGACCGCTAGTCCCTACATTATTCAAGGGTCAGCTGTAATCCTATGCAAGGAATATTGACAGAGAAATTCCCTAAATAAGGAGATGGGACTTAGTGAACCTTTAAGGATTCTAAGATTCCTATAATAGGTTACTTTTTAATTTAACTATACAGCTCATCTTGAGTAAACTTATGCATACAGCAGTAACAGTTCCAGAAGGAAGTTCATGCCATCACCCACCCCCTGTAAAAAACAAAACAAAACAAATGAGAAAACAAAACAAAAAAACAAAAAACAAACAAAAACAAAAATCTCACTAAGATTTTGTCTCTTTAATATAAGTCCCCCCAAATTAAGCACTGTGCAGCCAAAGACTGTCCCAGACTGGATTATATATGCAATCTATAAATATCAAAGGAAAGGGGCAAGGTCTGCGAGATTTCAAACACCCTAACACCATACCTAAACCTTCAAAAAGCAATGCTCCTAAACCAGGTCTGCTAAGTATCAGAAAACAAAACCGGCCTCTTAGCAGCCAAGTTAAGTCTGTGAAAGCGCTAACCTTAATTTTTCTCACTGAAGAAATTTCACTATGGGCTTATTCTTGTGTCATGCAAAATTCTAAAATGCTTGGTAATAGAGACTTTCATATTCCACAACAGATTAAACAGAATAAAATATTAATACAGAAACAAAAAAAGAGAGAGAGAGAAAGAAGGGAGATTTGAGGCAGTCGGAACAGCAGCAAGGCTATGCACCTGGGAGTCACACAGATCTGAATTCTGAATATTACCTATTCTTGAAGCATAGTCATCTGGAAGGGAACATTTCTAAATATTGTAAAGGATGTTTGAATTTGTTACTGCTTATAATTGTTGAGAATATACTTACCACAACAGATTTTCTCTGGAAGTTTATATTGTTGATGCAGACAACCTGATGGGTTGTATATTAAAAAGAAAAAGAAAAAAATACTGCTATTATTAAATAAAAACATAATTCTACGGAAGAATAAACAGGAAGTTCTAAGCAGCTCACAATTCTAATTAAGGTAATTGCACGTTTTAAATTTAGCAACAGCCATGAAAATAGATTTCTTCGTATAAAAATAGGAAGCTAGGTATTTTAAGAAAAACACCTATTGACCTGCAAGAGACATTAAATTTGTTGAACAATACTGCCATTCAAAACCATACATACTGTCCACATAGGGTCCTACAAACGGCATTTCCACCACCGTGAGTGGGCTCTAGTTTCCCACTAGGTTTCCCAGGGTCACCAAGGCAGCTTCAAGCAATCACAAAATAAAACTAGTAAGAACTAAAGCTAGAAAAGGAAAGGAATACGAAAAAATACTTATAATTTATATGGCCTTGGGCTTTCAAAGCCCTTGTCTCCTTTCTTCCTGTTCATCCTGGCGGGCTCTAAACCAGTCGGCGGCATGAAGCGCTCCCACCGAGCTTTGCTTCCCGGTTCCCGGGGGGCTGCGGGGTATTACCAGCCTCCGGCACCTCCCACTCCCCGCTCCCCCACGCTCCCGACAGTCATGCCCCGCGGCCAGGGCTCCCTCGGCGCCCACACCCCGCCGCGTCCGATCCGCCGCCGCCTCAAACTTGCTCCCGCGATTCGGCTCCTTTTCGCCGTCTCCGGCGAGCTTGTCACGAAGATGCTCCTTTCACCAACCGCTCCAAGCCACAGACGGCCGAAATCTTGCCTGTCACCTCTGACCTCTGGCGTCAGCGGAACTGGGACGGCGCCGAGGGCGGGAGCCGGAAGTTCTGTGCCGGTGGGCGGGGCTTGCGAGAGCACATTGGGGGTTTGCCTTTGCTTTTCCTGGCACTTGGAAGCCAACTGTTAGAAATTAGGAAATGTATAATGGTTGCGGAAGAGCTGGGCGGGGAATAGGTATGTGTGTGTGTGTGTGGCGGGGGGGAGGTGGGGGGGGGGTGTCTTAGAACCAGTGACACGTGAAACCAAAAGAAGAGGGTCCCGCCGGTTTGCTGTGTGAAGGGACAGCATGAACTCATTGGGCCCCAGTGACTATAGCTGTGAGACATGTAATTAGACCCAGGTAGTCCTAACTCAGACTTAGAGGCCTCACTAGGTACTGCTGCCTCAGTATATATATATTTTTTTAATAATCGCACATAGATACAAAACATTTATAGAAAAGACAAATACTTTGAAACCATCGACATGTGCAGTTTATGTACAAGAGAATAAAAGAGTTGCAAATTTCATTAACAGTCAAATCTTGGTTAGGTAATTGTGGATTACCCATTAACATTTTTTTTTTTTTTTTAACCTTGGATCAGATTTATCTTTCGCCTAACCCCTCAAACTGTCCTGGTGATAAGCTTATTAGCTAAGTTAAAATTAATTTGAACTTTGGTCAAATGAATACAAATCAGGAAAATAAAGCTATAAAGGCATTTTATCAAGCATTCCAAAACCCATTAGACATTACTTGTAGATTTCCAGTATTAGCCGTGTCCCTTTTCTCCATTACAGGATTGTAAATTGCTCTATTAGTATTCTTCATGTAAGATTGAGGATCAAACCCATTTCACATGAACATCAGCCAGGCAACACAGCAGCTATTACCAAGCCAACTTCATCAATGTAAATGACTAATTTAGATAATAGAGGATCTAGTGACTCTCTGTCTTGGTGGAATGTTGAAAATAGAGGGGAAATCACTTGAGAAATGACATTTTAGTGAACAAATAGTTTTTCTAGGAAAGTATTACTATTTAGTTCTCTGAAAAAAGGCTTTAACTTTGTTAATTATTAGGACGTCAAATCCTAATTAAAGGAATGCAATTTTAAATATAAAAAAGGCCAACACTTTTCTATAAATAAAACCATATAGACTCAAGATATACTAAATATAGAAAACAACTTTTGTCCTTATTTAGTCTGTATGCATAATAAAAAAATAACTTGAAAGACAAAGAAATGTCCTATTTCATTCAAGGGGAAAAGAGCCATAGTTTCAAAACACTTAGGATTAGGAGAAAAACGTTTCAAAGTATGTTTTTAAAATCTGTATATGCAAATATATGCAAGAATCTTTTTCTTATAACCATCAACTTTATGTAGCAACTTCAGTCCCAAAGAACAGATTGTTGTTCTTTTAAGAAATGGGCCTTCTTGAATTGTAAACTTTAACACCATTTTGTATTGACGAGCGAGAATATTTAGTGAGCAATGCACCTATGGTTTGCTTCTCTCCACACAAATCTCTGTGGGGAAAAAAAATAATAAGTGAATAGCATAAATATTCATAGTGCCAGCTATTTTTATATATTATATTATATATTATATATATTATATATGTTATATATATTATATATAATATATCATATATTATATTATTATATTATATGTGATATATACATATAATATATGATATATTATATATAATATATATAATATTCATATACATATACACTATATATATACTATATTTATATATATATCTACTATACTCATTGTGCTAATTACTTGTATCACTCTTACCTATATCCATCTTTCCAACAAGCATAAGGATGTGTGTTTGTGGGAGAGACAGGGTACAGAGTGGTTACTAAGCCTTAATTGAACTAGGTACTATACACGTATTACCTTGTTTAACCACAGAAAGAGTAACAGTAATGTATTACTTAACCCCACATTAGATATGGAACTCAGGTGGTCAAGGATGGAACCAAACTTCGCTGCCAGGTCTGCATGACTTTTAAGTCCATTTTTTTTTCCCCATTGTATCACACAGTCTCCAAATTACAAATACAAGCCATGCAATATAGGAGGGTCTAGACAGAGACGCTGGGTCCCAGGCTACCTGTGGGTGCTTATCTATGTTACCCACCCTCCCTGAACTTTAGCTTCATCTTCTGTACCCCAAAGAGGAGAAGGACTATCACTGGAACGTATGAGGTAAAGAAAGAATGAAGGGACAGGAGCTGGAGAAAGGAGCAACAGCAAGGTCATACAGGCTTTAAAGAACATGGAAAGGAGCAGTTGTGATTTAATTCTAAGTATAAAGGGAAGTTACTAGGTGGGTTTTCATTAATGTAAAAGCAGAATGTGATCTAAGTTTTAAATAATGGGGGCAATGAGTTGATGATTATGGAAGCTAAATGGTGAGTACCTGGTACATTCATTATGTTATATTGTCACTTCTGAACATTTAAAATTTTCCAAAATAAAAAGTCTGAATCATGGGACAGGAGAAGAGGGAAAAATACAAGTAGGGACACCAATTCAGAGGCAGGTCCTAGAGGACCCATTAGGATTTGCTCGTAGTTTGAACCAGAGAGTGAGAGAAGAAAAAAGACAAGTATGATTCCCAGATGTTTTGCTTGAGTAACTGGACTAATGGTGGTGATCTCACTGAGAGGTGAAAGATAGGGTTAGGACAAGGCGGAAACCACAGTTCTGTTGTGAGCATGTCGGTTTGAAACTCTTCTTAGATAACCGAGTGGACATGTTCAATAGACAGCCAGGTAAGAGAAACTGGAATTCAGGGAAAAGATCAAATATGAAGATAAAATTAGGAAGTCATTAAGTTTAAATCCAGGTCTAGATAAGGGCACCAAGGAAAAAAATACAAATGGAAAAGCAGATGGTCGAGAACAGTCCCAGAGCTCAGAAGCATTTAAAGGTTTGAAAGAACCAGGACATCTGAGCAAGAGACAGAGAAGGAGCTGCTTTGGGAGAGAGGGGACAAAAACTGTGTGCTTCAAGTAGAAAATGGTGCACAGTGTCCAACAGTTCTAAGAGGCCAAGTAAATAAGGATGGACAGTTGACCACTGAAATGTAGAAAGACAGATGCCAACAGGTTAAGGAAAGAATGGGAGACAAGGAAGCAGAAATGAGTGCCCAAACTTTTAAAAGGAATTACTTGTGAAACAGAGCAGAAGGTATGGAGTCCAGTAGGTTGTTGTTTTTTTAAAAGGAGCAATCGTACAGAATACCATATGTTGATGGGAACAATCCAGCAGGTAGGGAGACATCAATAACAAAAGGGGGGACAGGGATAACTAGAGGATGTACGTCTTTAATAAGGCCAGAGGGATGGGGCGCCTGCATGGCTCAGTGGTTAAAGCCTCTGCCTTCCACTTGGGTCATGATCCCAGGGTCCTGGATCGAGCCCCACGTTGGGCTCTCTGCTCAGCAGGGAGCCTGCTTCCTCCTCTCTCTCTCTCTCTCTGCCTGCCTCTCAGCCTACTTGTGATCTCCATCTGTCAAATAAATAAATAAAATCTTAAAAAAAAAAAGTATTTAAAAAAATAAGGCCAGAGGGATGGATCTAGTGCAGAAGAAGGACTGGCCTTAGGAGTAAGGATGGTTCATGCATTATAGAGGAAGGACTGCAAAGGGCGTTTGTGCAGACATAATCCAAGGAGGCTGGCAGATTTAATGGTAGGAAAGACGTTGTCCTTGTCTTTTCTTTTCTTATCTAAGTCCAGCCTGGGTAAAGAGAGGACAGGAGAGCTAAGACACAGGAGAGCTAAGACACAGTGAAGAGGTGGCAGCATTAGTACATTTGAGATTTGAGTCCTATAAACAGTGACCAACCAGCTAGGTCATTTTCCTGCAATCTGGCATCTATGGGAAATGTTAAAGCGAGGCAGCAGGAAAGGGGGGAGGGTGTCCATCAGCAAGAGGGCCTGCTTTAGAGCCATAGTGGGGCATGTAGTCTGACTGGGCCTCGAAGAGCTGCACTTTGGCAGGGAGGAGGGCAGAGAAGTGGTTTTAGAGGCAGCATGAGGAAGAAAGACAACACATTCCCACCTCTGGGATCAGAGGTGAAGAATGACAGAAAAGATGGCCACCATTTGAAAAAGTTTCAAAGGAAGCCATGTCCTCAGGGAATGCTCAAAAAAAAAAAAAAAATTTCCTAATAATAAATCTCTTTATAAAAATCTCTTTATAAAATCTCTTTATAAAAAGAACCGTCACATGCACCTGGGTGGCTCAGTGGGTTAAGCCTCTGCCTTTGGCTCAGGTCATGATCTTAGGGTCCTGGGATAGAGCCCCACACTGGACTCTCTGCTCAGCAGGGAGCCTGCTTCCTCCTCTCTCTCTGCCTGCCTCTCTGCCTACTTGTGATCCCTGTCTATCAAATAAATAAATAAAATCTTTAAAAAAGAAAAGAAAAGAAAGATAAGAAAACCCTCAAAATCCACTTTGGTAAATTACTTACTGAATATACGGAGCAATGTCTTCTTCTGTCCACTTTTCCCTTAGAGAGAAGAGACTGTTAAAACGTTCTTGATTATCCTCAGGCAAATCATCTACTTTTAGCAAAAATATGATTTCTGGTCTCGAGTGTCTATCCACCAAGGCTAAACCCTATTTTTAAAAAAAATGAAATGAAAAAAGGCAGTTAGAATAATGGTTTAGTGTCTAAATACAACTCATTCTTTTACCTTTAGGTTTGGCTGAGCCCAAGCTGCTCAAGACGTCAGCTACGTAAAACTTCCACAAACTTCCACCTCCTCTAGAAGAGACCCTCAGTAGCGTTTTTCATAAAAAGAGCTCCCTTAGACAGTGAATTCTCTTTTTCCCTTCTACAATCTGACTTCCGTTGCTCAATTCATCAGGATGGCTCTAGTTCAAAGTCACCAATGACCTGTCATTGCCAAATCTAGGGGCACCCTTCCTTGGATTTGTTAGCCCTGTTTTCTTTATTGATGTTGTCTCCTCCCTCTTTGAATCT